GGGCAGAACAGGGAGGCGCAGGCAGGCTCACTGCCCCCGACCCTCACCCGCTTGCCTGCAGGACTCCGGCTATGTCATTGCCCTGCGCAGCTACATCACTGATAACAGTAGCCTCCTCAGCCTCCACCGTGGGGACCTCATCAAGCTGCTGCCGGTGGCTACCCTGGAGCCAGGTATCACCAGAGGCCAGCCAGGGCTCACATAGGGAGGGCATCCACTTGGCAGAGCCTGCCCGGGGTGGAGGGCCTGGTGGGTGAGCAATGTCCTTGGGTGCCTTCCAGGCTGGCAGTTTGGCTCTGCTGGAGGCCGTTCCGGACTCTTTCCTGCCGACATAGTGCAGCCAGCCGCCGCTCCCGACTTTTCCTTCTCCAAAGAGCAGAGGAGTGGCCGGCACAAGGGCCAGCTGTCCAACGGGGAACTAGGGTTGACTCGGTGGGACAGGGCCTCAGAGGTGAGGAAGATGGGAGAGGGAGAGCCAGAGGGAAGGACTGCCTGAGACCGAGAAAGGAAAGGGGTTTGACTCCCACCCAAGCTGCCGTGTGCCGGGACCACCCTGCTGCCTACCACCTGTGACTGCCCCCTGCCCACTCCTGACGGCTTGCCTTCTCTCTAGCAAGCCTGTGCACTCCTTGGAGGCAGGGGCTGGGCTGGGCACTGCTCTTGTGTCCCACGTGGTACTTAGTTCAACACCACCCTAGCAGATGCTTACTAAACAGCTCTTCACTTTCCTGGGAGGGATGGGGCTGGGGCAGGACTCCTGGGACAGGGCACTGGACACTCAGGTGGTACCAAGTTTCTTGTGCTCTCAGCGCCCTGCCGGCCCCCGAAGTCAGGCACACAGTGATGACTCAGAGGCCACCAGCCTGCCCTCCTCTGCGGCCTACGCCTCTCTGCCCACCGACTCCAGCAACTACACCATGCAGGAATTCGCCCTGCGTTACTTCCGGAAGTCCGAGGCCTTGTGAGTGCACTAGGACAACCCCTGTGCCTGTCTGTCCTGTCTTCCCAAGAGAGTGCCATGCTCAGAGAAACCAGGCTGTGCCTCCTTGCCTGGCTGGGATGAGGGCAGGAGGGCCAAACAAGCTGGGCTGTCTCCTCCTTCCCCCCACAGGCTGGGTCAGAGAGGTAGAGGTGCTGCTGGGAAGGACACAGACAGCCTGGTGCAGTATACCAAGGTGGGGGAGAGGCGGGGAGGGGTCTGGCCGGTGGATCTGCCCTCTGATCCCGGAGGGCCCCAGACCCACAGCCTCTTCTCTTTGGCTGCAGGCTCCCATCCAGGAGTCACTCCTCATACTCAGTGATGACATGAGCAAGCAGGCTGTGGCCAGCTTCCTGGGTGAGTGGCCACAGGCATCCTGAGTCCCGAGGTCTGCAGTGCTGTGGACCTGGGCATCTGGTCCCCTTCTCTCCTTGAGCTCTGCCTGGCTCTGTCACACTATGCCAACTCTGGGAAACTCAGTGATAGCTCCTGGACCCCAGGGCTCTCACCCGCTTCTACTCCCATCCAAGGGTTGTGGGTGTCTGGAGTCTGGGGCTGGAAGGCAGTCTATGGGACCATGTCCCATCCATGGGATGCTATGTACTGTATGGAGCCTTGGGTACCCATGAGTCTGTTTCCCCGAGTGGAACGGCAGCCAGCTGCCCTGCCTGGCACACATACATTTTGAGAGTGAGGTATCAGATGGCAGATGAAGGCCCTGCACAGCGACAGCATGAGTCAGGGCCAGCCCCAGCCCAGCCTGCCCTGTTTCTTATCCTGCCTGCAGCCCTGATGCAGTTTATGGGTGACCAGTCCAAGCCCCGGGGCAAGGATGACATGGATCTGCTCTATGAGCTGCTAAAGGTAAGCCTGGGATGTGACCCCCAGTGCCTGTGCCTGTCGTCCTGCCTGGGCCCAAAGGAGATCCCCTTCTCTTGGTCACTGTCCTTCAAATCTTTCCCAAGTATTTACTGAGCACCCACTGCGTGCAGAGGGCGTGGCTGTCTCTGCAGTGCTTATGATAAGACAAGGATGTTACGTGTCTGGGAGTGAGAGGTCCCTGGAGAGTAAGAATGCTGGGAAGGGGATGCTGCAGTGAAGGCTTCCTGGCGGGAGCCTTCCTGCAGGGAGGGAAACCATCATGCACTGGCAAGGCCAGCACACCTGAGCCTAGTGAGTGGTGGGTAGCGGAGGATGAGAACAGGGTGCAAATGGTGAGTCCAGGCCACCACATGCCTTGTACCATCATTGGCCTCTGATTTTTGGAGATGGGAAACCACCAGAGGCTTCTGGAAGCTCAACTTACATTCTGCAGGGTCACTCAGCTGTTGAGATTCTGGGGGTTTAAGTTTAAAAGCAAAAGGAGTTATCGCAGTGGTCCCACATGAGGGATGGTGTTGCCCTGGGCCCAGGGCCAGCAGCAAGGGGAGGTAAGGTGCAGATTCAGAGCCAGCAGGTGTGCTGACCAATCTCATGTGGGCTATGGGAAGGAGGACAACTGTTTTCAACAAAGAGCAGGTCTCGGCTGGCGGAGAAATGTTTTGGACACATGAAGTTTGAAATCCCAGACTTCCCAGTGGAGGAGTCTGTGGTTCAAGGGAGAAGGCTGAAGGCAGGCACCAGGGAGCATCAGATGGGAGCAGCTGAGGCCACAAGGAGAGGGGCAGACAGAGAGCGGTTTTGGCACGGCACTGCTCAGAGGTCAGGGAGTTAAAGTAGAGCCAGCAGAGACGACTGAGAGGTCAGAGAAGCAGGGGCCAGGCGCAGTGGCTCACGCCTGTATTCCCAGCACTTTGGGAGGCAGAGGTGGATAGATCACCTGAGGTCAGGAGTTCCAAACCAGCCTGGCCAACATGATGAAACACTGCCTCTACTAAAAACACAAAAACTAGTGGGGCCTGGTGGCGTGTGCCTGTAGTACTCCAGAGGTTGAGGCAGGAGAATCACTTGAACCCGGGAGGCAGAGGTTGCAGTGAGCCAAGATGGCATCACTGCACTCCAGTCTGGGAGACAGGGAAGCAGGGAAGTGACTGAGTGACCAGTGCAGTGATGCTCGTAAGCTGAGACATCATCTTGACCTAGCCCTAGCCCATGGCCTTAACAGAGTTTCTCCAGGGCTTCAGACCCCAGGTGTATAACACCCATCCCTCACCCCACCTCCCTTCCTGTCCCCACAGCTGTGCCAGGAGCAGCAGCTCAGGGATGAGATTTACTGCCAGGTCATCAAGCAGGTCACGAGACACCCCCGGCCGTGAGTGGGGACTGGTGGGGTAGCTGGTCACCGTGGGCACCTGGGCACTGCAGCCTGGCCAGCCTGAAGCCCGGGCTCTCTGCCCTGCAGGGAACGCTGCATTCGAGGCTGGAGCTTTCTCAGTCTTCTCACAGGCTTCTTCTCCCCGTCGACCAAGCTGATGCCCTACCTGACCAAGTTCCTGCAGGATTCAAGCCTCAACCAAGGTGCCTGTGAGAGGGGGAGATGGAGGAGGAACAGGGGCTTCTAGGACTGGGAAGTTGGCGGGCTGAGGGAGGCCTGGTTACCTCGTGACCCCATTCTGGCTCCTCTGCAGAGCTGGCCCAGAGCAGCCAGGAGCACCTCCAGCGCACAGTCAAATATGGGGGGCGACGGCGGCTGCCCCAGCCGGGTGAAATGCAGGCTTTCCTGGTACTGGGGATGGTGAATGGGCATTGTGGGACACCCTGGGGTGGGAGGTGTCCCCACAGGAGGGCAGAGACCTCTGACCACTGGTGGACTGACCCTGCAACCTGCCTTGACAGAAAGGACAAACCACCCGCCTGCTTCTTATTCACCTGCCAGGGAGTGTGGATTATAGGACAAATATCCAGACTTTCACGGTGAGTTCAGGGGCCCCCAAGGGAAGAGACCTTGGGTGACAGTTCTGTGCCCCCCAGCATCCCTCCCCTCTTCATGGCCTGTCCACACACCCAGGTGGCAGCAGACGTGCAGGAGGAGCTGTGCCGGCAAATGGGTATCATGGAGCCACAGGAAGTGCAGGAATTCGCCCTCTTCCTCATCAAAGGGGAGGGTGAGCTTGGGGACGGACCCCCTCGCTGTGGGACCACTCCCCTGCTCAGGGGTGAGGTGGTTTGGTTTCTGCTGTGGTGGCAGGGTGGGGTGTGTGTGGTCTGAGCAGCGGTGGACCTGGGTTCCCCGTGCAGGCGAGCTGGTGCGGCCCCTGCGGCCTGCCGAGTACCTCAACAACGTAGTAGTGGACCAGAACGTGAGCCTGCACAGCCGGCGGCTCAGCTGGGAGACCCCACTGCACTTCGACAACTCTACCTACATCACCACCCACTACAGCCAGGTCAGCCTGCCTACCTCCAGCCGGGGGCGTGGCTTACTGCCTGGGCGACTTCCAAACCTCCCTCCCCACAAGGGTGTGGGTCTATGGTGGCTGGGGTGTGACAGTGGCAGAAGTGGGCTTGGGCCTCTAGAGCCAACTGATGGGGGCTCTGGGCCACCGCTGCCCTCCTCCCCATGCAGGTGCTACGGGACTACCTTCAGGGGAAGCTGCCAGTCAGTGCCCAGGCAGATGCGCAGCTCGCCAGGCTGGCTGCCCTGCAACACCTCAGCAAGGCCAACAGGAACACTCCCTCAGAGTGAGTGGGGGCACCTCCAGCCCCTAACCCCTCACCTTCTCCAAGGTCAAGGCTGTTTGACTAGTACCCTTCCTGGCCCTAACTGGACTGGCTTGGAGCAGCAGGGCCTGTGGATACCTGTCCTCTCCACCCACCCTGAGCTCCTCTAGGGCACGGCCCTCACCTCGCTCACATGTATGGATCTCTAGTCTTGCCCACAGTAGGCACTGGTTCAGTTATCTGGCGCATGCTGTATGCCCAGCCCTGCGCCAGGTGCTCAGAGGTTGAGCTGACTCCAGCTGTGCATCCTAGGCAGGACCTGCTGGCTTATGTGCCAAAGCAGCTGCACCGGCAGGTGAACACGGCCTCCATCAAGAACCTGATGGAGCAGGAGCTGAGACGGCTGGAAGGACATAGGCCCCAGGAAGCACAGATCAGCTTTATTGGTGGGTCTGGGGCTAGGGGACTACCGGGGTGGGGGCTGGAGGCCAAGAGGGGAGGAATGCAGGTAGAGGAGGAAGGACGGGTCTGCACCTGCCCTGTCCCTCTCAGCTGACCTGGGGGGCCAAGCATTGCGAGTTCCAGGGCCCCAACAGTCAGAATTCCTGCCTGCATCCTCCCCACCCACAGAGGCTGTGCGCCAGCTGCCTCTCTTTGGCCACACTGTCTACGTGGTGCTGCGAGTGAGCATGCAGGCCCTGCCTGGATCCGGCCTACTGGGACTCAACCGCCAGCATCTCATCCTCATGGACCCCAGTTCCCAGGTGGGCAAGGCTCTAGCCCCAGCACTAGCCTGGGGACCCTCGGCCTCACCCACAATGACCCTTCCCAGGAGAGGAGCCCAGCTCTGTTCTCTGCTGCCCCCAGAACCTGTGCTGCCGCATTGCCCTGAAGAGCCTGCAGCGGGTCCACCTGCTAAGTCCGCTGGAGGAGAAGGGGCCCCCTGGCCTGGAACTCAACTATGGCTCGGCTGACAACCCCCAGACCATCTGGTTTGAGCTGCCGCAGGTGAGTGGCCAGGCCTCCAACCACCTTGGGAAGGTGAATGTGAGGGCCTTGCCCCGGCATGGCATGCAGCAGGAGCCCAGGCTGATGCCCGCTGCTCCAAAGTGCTGTGGGCAGGACAAAGACGAGGGGTGGGTTGGGGAGCCCTCCTGTAACAGGCCTCTTTCTGGGCAGGCCCAGGAGCTGTTATATACCACTGTCTTCCTGATGGACAGCAATGCCTCTTGCACTGAGTGGCCCAGCATCAACTGAGAGGAGCACGGGCGGGGTGGAGACCAGGAAGAGGCCTTCCCCGGCCCAAGTCTTACCCCGATGGTCTGCCTGGGATGCTATCAGATCACTGTTCCAGAAACTGCCACAGCACAGCACAGCTGGCCCACGTGCAGGCCACGAGGGCAGGGACTGCTATCATGTCACCAACAGGGAAAGAAAATAGACCCTCTCCAGGATGGCCTGGGCCCAAAGGGGACTGCAGGAACTCGGCTGGGGCATCTGAGGTTGCCCAGTCTGAGGGAGATGCCCTCCCGGCCCCAGGCTCACCCAGGCCTGGGAGAAACAACTGCTGAGGAAATAAAAAGGGCTTTGTGTGTGCGTGCAAATGCAGTAGAATGACTTCATTCCTCTCCTAAACTTCTTGGTCAGGCCTGGCCTTCCTAAGCAGAAGCTGAGCAGGGAACGGGGCCTGGCTGCCACTACCCTGCCACAGCTCTAACTTGGGCATGGCTGGAAGCTGGCACTGTAACGGATGGGGGAATGGGCGAGGACCTGAGGTTCCTGGGTAGGTCCCAATACCTTGGACAGGTGGGCCTTGTCTTGACTTAAATGTGTGGAGGAGCCACTCTTCCTTCCCCTCCTCTGGCAGCAGCTCCACCACCCCCTGCCTTCTGCCCTGGACATGTGTCCCGGAGAACTCAGCCATGAGGACCAGGAGAGGCAGGGAGGCTCTGAGAAAGGTCCACCAGCTTTGCAAGCAGAAAGAAAGGTGGCTGACCTCTGACCGGGATTCAGGAGGTCTCTGGGGCCATCACCAAAGCCAAGTATGGTTGGCAGGTGGAAGGACTGAGAAGACGACGGCCCTGGCAGCTGCAGGCAAGGCTCAGGCGAGAGTCTGGGGGAGGACGCGGGCCCTGCCCAGCCAGCAGTTGGTCATCTCTGGAGGCCACACAGGCCATGCCAGTCATCTTCACTCTCACAGCGGGCCCGGCCATGGAAGAAGAGCCTGATGAGGTTCTGGGCCTCTTCTTTCACTACAGATTCAGGTTGGGGGCATGAGGAGGTGAAAGTTAGCCTCCTCCCTACAGACCACTTCCCCCATCCCAGGTGCCTCCTGGCCCTGGCAATGCCAGCACTCACCACTCCTTCCAGGAAAGGTCTTCTGAGCCAGCAAATGTGAGAGGTGGCGGGCAAAGCCTTTAAACAAATCCTGGAAGGGAGAGGGAGAACAGAAGCAGAGAGCAGGACCCAGCCCTGACCCCCAGAGGACCCACAGCCACGACTCAACAGCAAGGCAGGTCCCTGGGAGGGCAGGTGCTGGGCTGGCCCTGGGTCCAACCTGCTCTGGTCCACTGCATTCTGGGCTCACACTCCCTGCCTCCCTCGCCCATTAAACCCATGTATCCCAGGCCTGGGAAAGGGCTGAGCCCACCCACTTACCCTACCTTGGAAGCAAACTTGCCCTCCTTGTAGAAAGGGGTCAGGCACTTGACCACAACACTTGCAGCCTCCTTCAAGGGGATGCCAGGAGCTGAGAGCTGGCAGGGGTCTTGAGCTGTGGGATTCATGGTGCCCTGATCACTGGTCAAGATGCCACTCTTGACCTCAGCTAAGATGGAGGGCTTGGCCGAGGGGCGCAGCCTCTTCTGAGCCTGGCTCTCTGGGTTCTCCTGAGAAGCGTCAGAGCAGAGGATCACTCCTGGGCTCCCTTCCACTGGCCTGCTCCCCTCCTCTAGAAGACTGGGCCCCCACACCAGCTGGCTCCCTCCAGCCAAGCCCAGCCCATCTGCTGCTGAGTGTGGAAAGCAGCGCTGATTTTCCCTGGTCCCTATGACTAGGGCACAATAGTGCCCAGCCTTGCCCACAGCCCTCCTGTCCTCCCCAGTGGCCTCATCCCTGTAGGCACCTGCTCGGATTGGGGTCGCTTGCCCTTCTGTGTGTCCTTTGCGGGGGTGGGCTGGGCTTCAGGGCTCCCCTGGTCTCTGGGCGGGCAGGTACTGGTGGAGGAAAGAGCAGGCATCACAGCTGAGTCCTAGCAGCTCCTTCATCCTAGGAGGCCTAGGAAAGCCCATCTTAGGGATGAGCTCTGAGCTTCAGAGGCCCAGTGAGCAAAGGGGATGCTGCCATGTGGATTCCAGAAGTGTCTATGACTACCTGTACCCTTACCTTGGCCTCTCCCTGAGGCACTCCTCAGTCTGGGGAAGGGCAGGCGAATGTTCCCCGGCTCCATCTTCCTCCCCTGTGCACGTCTTTGGGGCCATTGGGGGTCCCTGAACCCCCTCACAGGAGGGGTGGGCACCTTCTGCCTCTGGGGCTGATGCCAGCAGAGCTGGGCTTTCAACCCTTTGGCAGAAGCGGGCGATGCTCTGAGAATCCTTGTGGGCTGACGCGGCTAGGAGCTGCTGTTTCTTGCTGGCCCGGCCCTTGGCAAGGGAACTGCCCCTGGAGGAACTTTTTGCCTTCTTCTCAGGGGAGGGCCCCCCACAGTGAGCGCTGCCTCCAGGGACCTCCCCTATGGGTCCAGGAAGGGGCTCACTCCTGTCCCCATCCAGGAGGCCACAGGGTGGGCTTGGGGGCTCGTGCTCGCCTGCCCGCTCAGGCCGTGGGGCTTGCTCCCTGATTTGAGTTGTCTCCATCAGTTCCATGGCTGTCTGGAACAGGCAAGAGCCTTTGGGAAAACCAACTCCCACCCGCTTGGGTTTGAGCTGTAAATGTAAGCAGGAGAGGAAGTTCAGTCCAGCAGGCCCCCTCTAGGGCACCACTGGCTGGGCCAGTCACTCACATTAGGGTGGGGCTCTCAGGACGTAGGAGGAAAGAGGCAGGCAGGCCCTGCTGGGGAGCCAGGCCATGGCAAGAAGTGCACCCCCCAAAGGCAGAGGGAAAATGGAGACTTTCCCGGCCACAGGTATAGGGACCCCTGGGCCCCAGCTTACCGAGTACACATGGGAGGCTGGTGGAATGTCATACTCGTTGGGCTCTGGGGGCTCAGCCTGGGCACTGCAGCTCTTGGCACTGCCTCCCACGTCATAAGGTTGCCCATCCTTGGAGGCTCTGTGAATCTCGGCTAGCTGGGCAGGAATGGGCAGGGAGGCTGTGACACCTGCTAGTCCCCCTGACAGTCCCCGCCCAGCCCTCCTTTTCCACTAGGCACTAGAAGTGGGTTTCTGTGGCCAGTGGCTGTAGGCACCCAACCACCGGGCAAGTTTTAGTCCTTGCATCCTCACAGGGTTGACTAGAAACACCTCCCGCTAGTGAGGAATGGAGCTCTACCCCGATGAACTGCCTCTGGGGTGGACTAGCGAGGGTGGGTTCTGGGCTGCCTGTGGCCAGATAGCTGGCAGACAGCTTCTGCCTCAGAGTGTGGAGGCGCCCCTCAACGACCCTCAGTCTGCCTGCACCCGGCCCACCTTCTTCAGCACGCTGGCCTTGTATAGGTTGGCCACCTTAGTGTTCCGGAAGATCTCGTGTTCCAGCTCCACGGCCTGGGCTCGGAGGTCAGCTCTGTGGGTGCAAGGTAACAGGCACAAGGTATCAGGTGGGCCTGGGGCTCTCCCTGCCGAGCTCCAGTGGGACTTGGGGCCTGGTGGGGAAGGCCTTGGGCACAGAGATTCTGACCAGGACTCTCTGGGCACCCTGTGGCTTATTGTCCCTCAGCAGCTGCTGGTGGCACCTAAATTGCGGCCATTCCTGGCCCTGGTGAGATACTGGGGGTGACAGGGTCCTGTAGTCTCCAAGGGAACGAGAGCTTGGAGGGCTCCTCAGTCTGGCGATTGTGGAACTCACCCATCAGTGGTATGCGTGGACTGGCGGTTACTACTCAGTGCCTCCTCTAGAAGCCCCAGGCAGTGCTCCCGCGCCTGGCACAGGAAAGTGAAGTTGGTCACATGGCCTGGGGCTGGGGGAGGGCCCTGGGGGTGGTGGCTGAGGAGCTGCCCGTCTCTTACCTTCACAGTCAGCCTGGGGATCCTCCTGCTAGAAGCCTCTTTCAGGGGACAGTTCTCATCTGTGGGGAGTTGGGGGTGTCCTTCCACTCCACCTTCTGCTCTCTGAAGTCCCCCACACCCCAGATAAGAATTCTCCCTCTATGCCCTAGGAAGAGCCCACAAGCCTCCAGAAACATTTCTGTACTGACCTGGAGGTATAAATTCTTCTATCTTGGGGTCTTTACCCTGGAAGACAACATGAAGGGCCCATGAGGCGTCCTGCCCTGCCACAGGACAGTCCCATCCAGCACCAGAGCAGGCTAAGAGGCTGCGAGCACGGGGACCACAGGGGCCCTGCACAGGACACCGAGCACCTCCCCTCACCTTGCGCAGCTGCATCTGCTTCTGATAGAAGAGGTTCCACTCCCGCTTGTGAGCCTCATCTCTGCCCTCGTCCCCGCTGCCTCCAGAACCTTCATCGTACCTAGAGACAGGCCAGGTGTGAGTGGTCCTGGCCTGGACTGTTTCTGCCCATGTGTGCTGCTGCTGGGATGGCGATGTCCCGATGTTCTAGCAGCTTGAGGGGGGACTGCCACCTTTGGTCTGGCCTTGGTGCCAAGGGAATGCAGATGATTCCAGTGGGTTGGGAATCCCTGGCTTCTTGGCCCCTTACCTGCTGAAGCCCCCGTAGCCCTTGCGGCCTCCCTCGTACAGCTCAGGGTCAAAGCCATTCCCCTGGGAGGGCCCGATGCAGGTCTTGCTCCAGGTGCTGCTGCGCTCCAAGGCCTCCAGCTGCCTCCGCACGGCCGTAGGGTTCTGGCAGTGGTCGCAGCCTTTAGCACAGGCAGGCGGTGCATCCCCGAAGTACTTGGAAATGGCGGCATGGCGGCACCTGGAGCAGGCAGCACCGCAGAGGTGAGGGATGGAGAGCCCAGGTGGCTGGCATCTGTTCACCCGAGCCTTAATCACTGGCCAAGCAAGCACTGCCATGTCTGCCACCATGCCAGGCACCTCACACGCCTCATCTCATCGGAGCCACACCAGGCATCGTTCAGCTCTGCCCACTTCACAGATGAGGACAATGAGGTGAAGGAACTTTCCCAAAGTCATGTAACATATGGGGTCTCCTGGGAAGCAGGATGTGAACCCCACTCTGTCTATCTATGCCTCTGCATCTCCCCTCTGTCGTCTGGCAATGGGACATCCTACAGAGTTCAGGCTCCGGGTGCAGATGCCGGCTCTGCCATGAAAGCTGTGTCCTTTTGGTGACACATTTCACCTCCTACAGCCCATGCATTCCCGTCAGTTAAATGGTACAGGAAGGCACAGGTCTCAAGGGCTGAGCGCTGATGGATGAAAGGATGTCATGAACTGAAGTGACTGCAGATCCAACGGCGATCCCCTAAGATTCTAACACCATGTTTTTACTGTACCTTTTCTACGTTTATGTGTTTAGACACGAGACTACCACTGTTACGGCTGCATACAGTAGTCAGGACAGCAATGCAGTGTACAGGTTTGTGGTCTAGGAGCAACAAGCTGTGCCACGTGGCCTAGGTGTGTAGGAGGATATGCCATTTTGATTTTTTTTCCTTCTTCTCTCTGAAATTGCCGTTTGATTTCCGTAAGTACACTCTGACTGCACAATGACAGGTTAAATTTCTCAAAACGTATTTGCATTGCTAAGGCAGGCATGGCTGTGTAGTAATATGTCCCATCATAAACCCCTAAGGGTGGGCCCGTGAGTGGTCACAGGTGGGGACCTTCAGCCAGGGGAAGACAGAGCCTTGCCTGGAGTCCTCCTCTCATCTTCCTCTGCCTCGACCCTGCTGCAGCCCTCCGGGGGTGAGCGGCCTCTGCCCTGCTGGGAGCAGGGAGCAGCCTCTGGCTGGCCCAAGAGACTCTGTCGCATCTCTGATCCCTATGTATGGGGGTGGCTGTCAACTCTTGAGGCAGGTGCAGAGGCCACACGAGGGGCCACAGCTCTCTCAGGCTCCTTACAAATAGCCATTCCTGCCACCAAGAACGTGGTGCAGGGTAGGGAGGCCCAAGAGGAGATGCCGGAACAGAGGCAGGGCTGTCTGGGGTGCCACATCCCAGGGACAAGAATAGCTGGCGTTAACTGCTCTAACCAGCACTCCTCTCAGTGTGAGTACTGCTGGAGCTTCAAGAAGCCCTTTGAGGGGCTGTGACCCCAAGGCACAGGCTCAAGGATCCAAGGCTGATTGCAACACTGCCCTGAGTAAGCAGGGCCTGGCTGACTTGCCTTGAGCTGAGTGAACGCAGCTCTGAAGCCCAACCTGAACGGCCTGGGACAGCTGAGGTGGCCACCAGAGGGCGCTCTTGCCCCAACTCTGCTCCGCTGAGTAAATGCGACAAATGGTCCATCCGCAAGAGTCTGTGCGTCTGCACAGCTGCACAGTGGCTGCCTGTCCAGCCTCTGGGAGGCTCTGGCATCCAAGTGGTGTGGCCACATGGCTGGCTTCCTCCCTGCTGCCCTCCCCAAGCCCTGACTCACTGGGGTTTTGTGCTCAGACTCAAAGAGCTCCATTGACTGTGGGACTGGGGTCGGTTTCTCTCCACGCAGCCTGGCCTGATGGGTGGCACAACCAGGCAAATGTCACAAGGCCCAGCCCCTGGACTCTGGAGCCCTGCCCTGACAGCTGGGCCAGGAGTGTGGTGACAGCCCCGGCAGAAGGCCCTCCTCTCACGAGGAACATGAGGCGCCTTGCCGGGAGCGCAGGCCACTCCCGGGTCACTCAGGATTCCAAGTTCTCCCCAAGATGCCTTCGGATGCTGAGCAGCACGACGGCCTCCCCAGAGGCTGGATGCAAAGCCTTCTGCTCGGCCTGGGTGGGGGGCGCCAACTCCTCACTGCTTACTGTTTTTCCTGAGGCCAGAGGGAGGGACCAGCCAGGAAGTGGCCTGAGAGACAGAAGGGGTGGCCCTCCCAAGGGTAAGGTGGGTGTCCAAGAGCTGGGAGCGATTGCAGGACTCCCCTCTACAGGCTCAGAGTCCTCCTGGCCAGGGAGGCAGACAGCCGACTTCTTTCTTCAGCTCCCAGCCCAGGCCCAGCCCACAGCGTGGGAGGGAGGGGGAAAGGAGGGGAGAGGGAGGGGACAGGGAGGGGAGAGGGAGAGGAGGAGGAAGAGAAAAGAGGGAGCTCATCCTGTCCCCAGGCAGCCCTCCCAGGGCAGAGGTGAGGCACCGGGCCACGAAGTTGGAGGACAAGTTCCCAAGCAGGGCTTCCTCGGGCTCCTCCTCGCGACAGTAATTTGACACTTGGATCTCCAGGACGACTGACAACAAAAAAGCCAGGCAGAGACAGCAGCTGGCTGTCAGCAGAGGAGCTGGGCTGAGGCGCCCAGGGGAGCAGCGGCACCCACAGAGGAAGTACCAAGACAGAACAAGGAGGCTCCACTCTGGGGCGCTGCTGCTCGGCCCCCAACACCTGAGCTCCAGGTGAGCGGCACTGGCCACAGAAGAAGGGAGGATAGGGAGGGAGCAGCAAGTGTCTCCTGCCCCCGGGTGAAGGGCCACAGTCCACCATAAACACAGAGGGGAGGTCTTGGGAAACACGCCTGGTCAATTCTCTGCAGAGAAGTCAGGCAGCCTCCTGCACACACCTATGCTGCCCCTTCTGTTGGGACCCGGTGCTACGGGAGTGCCGGGGGCTCTACTCACAGCACCTCCCCCTATGCCTGCTGGGCAGCAGAGGGGCCCCCAGGGCCTGCTTACTCTGTAAGTTCATTTCAGCTCTTTCTATTCAGGGGGCTTAAAAGCGGGATTTGGCTGTCCGGCTTGGGAGAGAATGGCTGCTGGCCTGCTGAGCCTCCCTTTTTCCCGGGATTAGGGCAGAGCTCAGTCCAGAAGGTCAGCAAAGGGTCTGCCCAGCCAGCGTGCGGTGCCCTCGGGATGCAGCAGGACTCTGCTCATCTGTGTCTTTTCGGGGGCTGGGCCTGCTCACTGCAAGGTGAGCTCAGGGCTCAGCCTGGGTCCTCCTTCCTGGGCCCATCTAGAACCCCATAAGCCCCCAGATCTCCCTCTGGCAATGAGGCTTGAACACCAAACCAGGAACCTGGATGACTGACTTTCAACCCAGGCTTAGGTGGGGAGGTCACAGAAATGAGGCTAGGAGGGACTATGCTGGCATCCAGGACCTCTGCTGTGCCACCGTGATGCACAGGCTGATTGTGACACCGGCCCTAAGGAAACAGGGCCTGGCTGTTTGGTTCTTTGGGAAGCACCAGGAGCATCCCTCCTGGGCAGGCCCATGAGCTGAAGCTAGATATCCTCCTGCCTCCCTGTCCTCAAGCCAGCATTAAAGCCACCCCCCAACCCCCATACATTTTCCTCAAAGCAAACAAGCTGGCATCTAGTAAGAAAGAAAAACAATGACCCAGGGAAATGTGAAAACCAAGGATCAGTCCAAGTGTTCTGGGCTCAGCAGAGGCTGGGGGCATTGGCTGGGGCTGGTGCCTGGGGAGACCAACTCTTGTGGTGTTTGGGAGGCGCACAGTAGGGAAAGGGTCAGGCCAGGTGGGGGTTGGGGCACAGCAGTGAGTGACAGTGCTGCTGTCACTCAAGATGCCCCAGGCAGACAGGTGGGGATCCCTGTCCTGCATCCATTGGACACAAGTAGACAGGGTCCCTCCAACACAGTCCCTGAACCGGGACGGAGGAGGAATGAACGGCCAGCTTCTGTAGCTGCAGAAGGAGCGCCTACTGTTTCTAACACCAGCAGCAGAAAGTGCTTCCCCCCCGCCCTGGGTGACTACAGGAGCAGGGTCTGCCAGGGGTTCAAGTACCACTTTCTACTTTCAGTTGGAGCCAGGGCAGAAAGGGGAGTCACCCAAAGGATCAGTGCCACAGACAGGGGCATTCCCCCGGCTGCTCAGGCACTGGACCCTGCAAATCTCCCACAAGTGGCAGTTACGCCTTCTCCTAGCTGGACCTCAAACAAGATAACGTCTGGCAGGGCAAGGGTGGCTGAAACCCACCATGACGAAACAAGAGGGCAGAGCAAGCAGCCCTCTGGGGCCCTGTGCCACCAGCACACCTCGCTTATCAGTCTCAAACATGCCGCCTGCTGCCAGCCCTTCCTCATGGGGTGCCTGGTGTTGGAGTATCAGCTCTGTGAGGAGGAAGCAGGGAAGCTTCAGGACCAAGTGGCAGCTGTCTGGCCTGCAGGATGCCTGCCTCTCTGTTGCAAGGCTCCATGTGCCAAGAGATGCCACACAAAGGAATGCTTCCCATCCCTCCAGCTCTGCCAGCCTTCTCCACCCTGCTCATTTCCCCTGTGCTGCCTGCTACTGCAGCCAGGGTGCACCCTCTGAAGGCTCCAAGCTGGGCTGCCTGGGCAGCAGGAAGGCCTGGTGGCAGCTGGGTTGCATTCCCTCTTAGGGCCAGAGGAAGCCACCACTTGCTCTGGCAGCCACTCAGGAACCCCTGAGAAACCTCCAACCAAGGCACTACCAAGTGTGGGGCTGGGAGGGACTCTGGCTGCCCTGGTTCACAGGTGGGAAGTGTGGTTTTGGAAAGGAGTTGGGTGAACCTGAGATAGAAAGACTGGAAAAATACAGAATGGTAAGGAGCCCTTCTGGGCTTCCCTGCCTTCCTCCTGCCGAACCTAGGAAGGGAAAGGAGAGGGGAGGTGGCCAGCTTCAGAGCTCCCACATTCCCCCTGCCACAGCTGGGAACACCAAGGTTCCCTTAGGAGCAGCAGCTGGGGTACATGCCACACAGTCACCTGACGGCTGCTGGTTATATTGGGCACCAAGCGTCAGGCACTCCCTTGGCCTGGCTTTAAATAGCCCACTGGGAAGACCGCCTGGGGACCGGCTGGAATGTGCCTCCTCCTCTTTAGAGAACAAGACCCCTCAGCTCCCCAACTTACCCCATGAAGGCTCGGCCACAGGCTTATGCTCCAAATAACAAGGTATCAACTGCAAAGCAAAGGGGCTCCTGGGGTTCCTCTCCAGCTCTCTGGGGGCAGAACAGCCATGTCCAATGGCCCCACTTCTGCTAACTGAGGGACAGGATACCGTGAGCAGCCCTGGTCAGACCTCCCAGGCTGGATAAGGCTGTCCATGACTGGCTGGCATACTAAGCTCCCAGTCAGCCCCCTAGGGAAGTCCTGGGTGCAAAGCTATGCCACTCTCCCCAGCTGCAGCCTGCTGCTGATGGGAACTGACACTTTTCCCGGCTGGGGGCTGAGGTCCACCTGGCATGAGTCTGCAGCTCCCCATTTTGCAACCCTTGGAGGCCGGCTGGAGCTTCTCAGCAACAAACCCCACTTTTCCTGCACAGTAAATTCAGCCTCAGCCCAACCATCCTCCTCCCTGCTCTGGTGAGCACGACTCCAGGTCTCCACGCCACTTCTCACTCACAAGGAAAAGCTCCCCCCGCAATCTCTCCCTGCGTCTCTGGGTGTGGCACACAAGCGAAAAAGCTCTCCCTGCCCTCCCACCGCCTGTCCACTTCCTCTTTTAAGGAGTGTCTCTGCTGGGCTACATTAGGCTGTGTGGGCACAGTGCCAATAAGGCTGAAAACACCAGACCAAGTGCAGACAGACAGGGAGAGGAGGAAGGCAGCCCAGCTTCTGAGCCATGTGCAAACTGTCCTACAAGGGACATGGTCGGCATCATCATCCCTCTAAGAATGAGGGAATCCGGAAAGCTGGGGAGAGAGGCACGGAGGTCCCAGAACCGAGGGGACCACTGTCCTTGTGCAAGCCTGCTCCACCGGGCCAGAGGGAGTGTCCCATTTGGGCTGACCAGAAGGGACAGTCCTTTGCTGAGACTGGCTAGACACAAAAGACTCCAGGTAGTCTCAAAGAGCCTAGTGTGGGCCCAGCCTGGTGGTGACATGCTGATAAAAGCGGCTTTAGATCCACAAGTGTGGGCCGGGGCTGGCCAAGCACAGCCAGTTGGCTTCCAGAGGGCTCTGGGGCCCTGGCTCCTGCACTGAGCCCACTGCATGAGCAGCACCCTCAGGGGGCTCTCCTATCTAGCTGGTCTAAGCTGGAGAAAGGCCTCCATTGAAAGATAGTGTGGGGCGCCAGTGGGGGTGCTAGATGGTCCCCTGTCCTGCTGTGTAAACTCAGAGAATTCACTTGCTCTCTCAGGTCTCAGTTTCCCCATGTGTAGAAGGAAGGAGGTAGGAATGGATGACCTGTGGCATTCTAGGACCCTATGCCTCTCAGTACACTTGAAAACTGGGATCCTCACCTCCTCTGCAGAAACACACTTGCCACAGGTGAGGTGTGAGAAGCAGGGTGGATCTAAGTCAGGGAACCTCCTGCTTTTGACAGGAACTCATCTAACTTTCTACGGAACCATCTTCTGCCTGTCACCCCCATCATCCCTTAAAAAAATTTCCTGGCCGGGCCCAGTGGCTCATGCCTGTAATTCCAGCACTTTGGGAGGCCAAGGCAGGTGGATCACAAGGTTACAAGGTCAGGAGTTCAAGACCAGCCTGGCCAATAGTGAAACTCCATCTCTACTAAAAATACAAAAAATAGCTGGGTGTGACAGCAGGTGCCTATAGTCCCAGCTACTCGGGAGGAGGTTGAGGCAGAAGAATCACTTGAACCTAGGAGACCGAGGTTGCAGTGAGCCAAGATCATGCCATTGTACTCCAGCCTGGGTGACAGAGCAAGACTCTATCTCAAAAAAAAAAAAAAAAAAGCAAAAACAACTCTCCATCTCCAGCTTGCCTATATTCCTTCAGTACTCACACCGCAGATGCCCTAGGACAAACACCCAAAAGGTGTTGTGGGTGATAGTGACAGTGCATGGGGGGTAACAGCCCCCAAAGCCAGTGAGACCACTCCCACAGGGGCATTCTCGTATGCTGGGCACCCTCCACCCTGTGGCCGTCTACAACATGCTGCTAGATGGTCAGTCCTCCCAACAGCCTCAAAACACCAGCATCTCATTCCACGTCAGAGACATGAAGCAACCTGTTCATGTCGAAAAAGAAAGAAGTGGAGGTGGCATTCAAGGAAGACAGCTGAAAACACTCACTCAGGCGCCCAGGCAGAGAAAGAAATCCAGAAGGTACACGCTGGCTGCCATCTTGCTCCTGAAGGACTATGAGGCAGAAGGCAGCTCAAGGTCTAAGTGAGCACAAGTGGGACGAACTGGGGTCCAGCAGGGGTCCAACCTTCTGCAGGGGGTGGCCTGCCTCAGCAGGTGGGGGTTCCTCACCATCCTGGGTGCTCATGCAAAGCCCACACACAGGCCAAGTGCAGGGTGGAGGGCTCCGTTCAATGACCTTCACAGTGGTTCTAAACCAGCTCTGCCAAGGCAGCAGCACCGGGAGGGACCAGCCTCACTGCCTGCAGCCATCTCAGGGAGAACCGGCTGAGACCTGGGTGAGGCCACAATTATTAGAGCTGAAGTCTGGCATTCGAGCCTGCCACCTGCACCCCCCCACTCCCCACCCCTGGATTCAAGCAACTGCCTGGATCAGGCTGGGGTGGGACAAGGCTGTCTCTGGTCTCTCTCTAAAGAGGCTCCAGCTCCCTCACACCCACAGGAGAGGCAGAAGAGGAAAGTGGCTCAAAGACACAACAGCCCAGACAGGCTCAGCCTGGAGCTGCACCCTGGGCCTCTCAGGCACCCTGAGACAGCAAGAGGCTCTCCTAGGGCAGGGGTGGGAGTGGAGAAGACTTTCCTGGTAAGGCCAGAGAAACAGGTGAAGCCAGCAGGGAGGAGCTGACTTGAGCAGCTTGGGCCTCCAGATATCCTCCCAGCAGACAGGACAGAGTCCTGGCAAAACCTGGAGGGACATGGTTCAGCCACTCCGCCATGGGAGAACACACGAGTGTGAAAACTGGGCTGGTGGGAGAGGTGCAGGGGGGCTCTCCCTCACAGGAGAACACACGTGAGTGTGGAAACTGGGCTGGTGGGAGAGATAGGGTGGCCTCTCCCCACTTGAGAAAACACACATGAGTATGAAAACTGGGCTGATGAGAGAGGTGGGGGGCCTTCTCCCCCACAGGAGAACAAGCATAAGTGCAGAAACTGGGCTGGTGCGAGAGGTGGGGGGGTCTGGGGGACAGGGACAGTTTTCACCTCTGCTGACCTTGGCCAGAAGCCCTATGAACCTGCTCTTGAGAGAACCTGCTTCTTCTGTTCCCATACTGATGGAAGGCAAGAGTACCAACTTGGCATCCAATGCCAGTCTCCCCACCCCGAGGGACCCAGCAGCCAGCAGGGAGCTGTGCCAGTCCCAAGCATGCTGGCAAAACCTAGAAGTGGTGCCTCAAGACAAGGGAGCAGAACAGAAAAGCCAGAAACCACCACCAACCTTGGCCTTGGCCGGCAGCCCCTGAAGCAAGCCCTCAGTCTCGCTGTCATCACCAACTTCTCCTACCCTGGGCCCTGTCAGCTAAGTGGGGACTGAGGGCCACCACTATGTAGAAGTCACCGGGGTGCAATGCGTGAGACCTGACAAACTCGTTCTGCAGGCTGCAGATGGGTGCGAGGGTGGAATCTCAGAGGGTGGAATCTTGGTGCTGCTGCCAGTGTGGGGCCAGCTGTGGAAGCTCCAGTTGCTCTCTCTGCCCCGGCACAGCCTGGCAGGAGCCCCGAGAGGAAGCCAACGCAGCATGGCCGCCACGAACTTCGTGCAGGAGATGCGAGCCGTGGGTGAGAGGCTGCTGCTCAAGCTACAGAGACTGCCCCAGGCTGAGCCCGTGGAGATCGTGGCCTTCTCAGTCATCGTCCTTTTCACAGGTCAGTCGGGGCACTCAGCGCCCCATGGCTCACCCTGGCATCTGAGAGAGACCACACCATGGTGCTAGCCAGAGGGCTGGCAGAGGTGGTGGATATCTCCCAGATCGAGGCGGAAAGCCAGTTGTCCCTTGGAAGAAGCCAAGGGACTTCCCTCATCCCCTGATATGCTGCTTGGATGATGGGCAGTGCTGGGAACTGGGCCCAGGAGCACCCCAGGACCCCATTGCAGGGATGACGGGAGCCAGGCTTGGGCAGAGAAAGAGGAGACACACACGGAGGAGGTTGGCCCAGGCAGCCAGCATGGCGACCATCCACACCTCTCACCAGTCTCTTGGGTCTTTCCAATCCCTCCATCAGACCTGTGGGGGAAGACCCCAGCACACAGTGGGTTTCTCTGGGAGGACGGTGGGCATCCTTTCTCTCCCCTGCCTGAGTCTGTGCTCTCTCCCTGCCCTCCAGCCACTGTTCTGCTGCTGCTGCTGATAGCCTGCAGCTGCTGCTGCACTCACTGCTGCTGCCCCGAGCACAGAGGCAGGAAGGTCCAGATACAGCCGACACCACCATGAGGGATGGGGGATGGCTAAGAAGCTGGAGAGGAGATGGCCAACGCCGTGACACAGGTCATCAGCCTGACCCTGCAGCCCTCGCCCCTCAAAACCAGGCTCCCCTGGCCCCAGCTCTCGACTGGCCCAGGTACCTGGACACTCGACACCTGGAGCCCTACCAAGGAAACCAGGGCTGGTACAGCTGCAAACCTCTCACCTGCCTGTGGACACTGGGTGCTGAGGAGTCAACTGTTTCAAAGACTGGGTCAGCTGCCTGGGTTTCTTCGCCTACTTGCACTTTTTAACAAAACAAGGAAGTAGGTGTCCCCATACCTTGATGGAGAACAGTCCCCATCTGTGAGCAACTGGTCCTTGGGGCTCTACTGATCCATGCCAAAGAGAAGCAAGGCAATCAGAGGGGCTCTGTGCAATAGCTTCTGCATCCGCACTCCGCCAGCGTGTGAGCATGTCAGTATTCTAGTCCAGTATTTGCCCGTTTCCAAGTAAAAGCCTTTGGGTTATGTGTTTCTGTGGTGCCAGACTCCCTGAGGTTGGGCTGGGCTCTGTGCATCCAGAGGAGGTGTGGCCTCTGCTCTCCCTGTGCCCACGAAAGCTGGAAAACCACGCAGAGAAGCATGCCACACAGGTGGTAACACCACGGGACCAGTGGAGGGTGCCATGAAATTCCTGTCATGCATTAGCTGCTAACGAGCTCTGCCAGGCTGAAGCTTAGGCTAGCTAGGCTCAGGAACAGCACTTAACTCTTTACTGCCTGCCCCTTTGGCCTAAACCAAACTAGCAGACTCCCCAAACTAGCAGACTCAGGCCGGTGGGTCTTCGAAAACTGCCAGAGGAAGGCCCTAATGTAATCTGCATGCTGACCCCGTGGCCCTCCCCCACTTGTATGCTGTCTGGGCTCACACCCTCACCCTGTCAGCTGCGTGACTCGACCTCCCTAAGCCGAATTCCTCCTTGGTGAAATGGGGCAAATCCTGGTACTGCTTCCTGGGGTGTGCTGTGAGAATAAATGCAGATGACTTGCGTCTAGCACTTAGCACATATCCAAGAGCCTCATCAACATGAACCACCATTATCTGCCCCTCGAAACATGGGACCAACCAGGGGAACAGGGACCCATTTTAAAGACTGGTCCTGCTCCGTTCAGCTGAGTTTTTCTTCCAGAGAACTTTCCAGCTAGAGCTACAAACCCAGGAGTTCGGGGAGGAGAGGCACACGGCTCCAGAAACGTCAATGGGGCCAAACAGAGCATCCCGAGGTGCCTCCCCATGGCTTCTCCAGAGCCACGAGGTCTGTGTTTTTCTGTTTTCTTTTTTGAGAGGGAGTCTCGCTCTGTTGCCCAGGCTGGAGTGCAGTGATGCGATTTCGGCTCACTGTAATCTCCACTTCCTAGGTTCAACGACTGTTCTGCTTCAGCCTCCCAAGTAGCTGGGACTACAGGCATGCGCCACCATGCTTAGCTAATTTGCTGTAGTTTTAGTAGAGATAGGGTTTCACCATGTTGGCCAGGCTGGTCTCGAATTCTTGACCTCAGGTGATCCTCCCAAAGTGCTGGGATTACAGGCAGGAGCACCAAGCCCAGCCGAGAGGTGTTTTTCACATGCTTCCGTCATTTTGCCCTGCATGGCCATGCTCTGGCTGCCTAGGAGCAGAGCCCTGTCTACCTGAGAAACATGTCATGGAGAGGGGATGGCAGGCCCTGCCACAGCCACACCATTTCAAGCTGGCTGTCCAGGCCACACTGGCAGTGACAGGCAAGGAGGAGCTCTCACTGTCTGCTTTCACTTTCTGGTGTCCACAGACTTGTCTGACAGGTTTAGGTTAAAGACCCAGAGAAGTGTTTTCATACAATAGAAAGGAAATTCAAGAATTTGCCCATTCTCAGCTCCCTCCAAAGAATAGGATTCGGAATGATGATGATGATGATAAGATGGCTAAAATCTGCTGAGGGCTTACACACACTGAGCATTGTCTTCAGCATTCTGGTGCAGATAAACTCATTTACTCATCACAATACCTCAGTGTTGAAGAGAACACTGTTACCCCCATATAGAGATGAGGACATGGATTGATGCTAGCTTACTTGTCTAAGTTCAACCAGCTGAAAAGCAGCAGAGCCAGCCTCAGTCCAGCCTGTCTGGCTCCAGAGCCTCTGCTCACCACACCCAGGGCTCCTGACCCAAAACGTGGCCTCCTGGTTGCAGGACAGACAAGGCTCTAATTCTATTATCCTCCAGTGACCAACCCCATACCCAAAACACCCACATACCAAACTTTGTCTCAGAATAACCTTCGCAGGAGTGGGTGGGACCCAACAGGTAAGAACTGGGGTGGTGCCCAATGAGGCGTCCCTCCCAGAAAAACACAGGGGAGTGGACAGACAGGAAACCCTGCATTTTTCCCTCCCAGTACCAATAGCTGGAGGGTCCCTCGAAGCCGTCTGATTGGGAGATGCCCCAACAGGGAAGCAGCCCAATTCCTGGGTGACTTTTCCATAAGCCAGTTTTCATCAGCATAAGAATGGCCCTGCTGGAGGGTGGCTGAGGCTGAGGCTCTTTGCTAGAAAATATTCTGCTTCTCCAGCCTAGTTGCAGAGAGGTGGGAACCACAGACAGCCCTGGGCACAGGCAGGCTGAGTGGCCGCTCCAGGGCAAGTGGTGCACAACTGCTGACCCCACACAGGATTCAGTCCCTGCCGTCATAGGACTCACTCCCTGCTCCTCCGCCAACTGGCACACACTCAGCACAGCTGTCAGACCAACTCCTTCTCAGGCTTCAAACCCACTGAGATTAATCAACCAGGTCTGCTCTCTGATAGCAGCCTGGCTCACTCCTTCAAGAGGCAGCTCCTCATGCCAGTCTTCCCTAGGGAAGATGGGCATGGAAAGGTGGCAGCAGTTGTCCCACTATGGGAAAGAATAAACAAAGCTGCTGCAGACCTGGGTGGCCTGAAGACAGGCGGGGGCTATGGGAGGGGCGGCCATTAGGCTGGTTTCAGGTTTAGAGGACGTCTGACTTGGCCACCACCTGTCTGTTCCTGCCACTGTGCCTTCCTGGACCACGCCACCATCAATGCTTACTGTGATCACTGCAGCAGCATCCTAAGTGGTCCCGACAATCATCTCACCAGCCTCTTCAAGCCCACCCCCAGCTGGGGCCTCTGCTTCCACCACAGGGCAGGCTGCTCTTGGCTCCTCAAAAGGGCTGCACTCTACTCAGAAGACCTGTGTGCCATACTGTCTGTATGTCACGGCTGATTAAAAACTACAATAGGGCTGGGCGCAATGGCTCATGCCTATAATCTCAGCACTTTGAGAGGCCAAGGCAGGTAGATCATTTGAGGTCAGGAGTTAGAGACCAGCCTGACCAACATGGTGAAACCCCAGCTCTACTAAAAATCCAAAAAAAATTTAGCCAGGTGTGGTGGTACATGCCTGTAGTCCCAGCTATTCAGGAGGCTGAAGCAGGAGAATCACTTGCACCCAGGAGGCAGAGGCTGCAGTGAGCTGAGACTGTGCCACTGGACTCCAGCCTGGGCAACAGAGTGAGACTCCATCTCAAAACAAAAACAAAAACAAAAAAACGAAACTACAATAGGCCAGCACAGTACATCACATGCATGTAACCCCAGCACTTTGGAAGGCCAATGAGGTATGATCCTTGAGCTCAGGAGTTTGAGACCAGCCTGGGCAACATGGGGAGACCCTGTCCCTACAAAAATAAAAACATACATAAAATAAAACCAACAATAAAGGCACAGATACAAGAATCTCATTGCAAAACTTGGCAGAGTATATAAAAGTTTCCTGGCCAGGCGCAGTGGCTTACCCCTGTAATACCAGCACTTTGGGAGGCTAAAGCTGGTGAACAACCTGAGGTCAGGAGTTTTGAGAGCAGCCTTAACAACACAGAGAAACCCCATCTCTACTGAAAACACAAAATTAGCCGGGCGTGGTGGTGCATGCCTGTAATCCCAGCTACTCAGGAGGCTGAAACAGAACTGCTTGAACCTGGGAGTCAGAGGTTGCAGTGAGCCGAGATCACGCCATTGCACTCCAGCCTGGGCAACAAGAACAAACTCCATCTCAAAAAAAAAAAAAGTTTCCTTCCAGCCAGGCATGGTGGCACACGCCTGTGATACAGGCTGAGGCAGGAGAATCGCAGAGGTTGCAGTGAGCCGAGATCACGCCACTGCACTCCAGCTTGGGCTACAGAGTGAGACACTGTCTCAAAAAAAAAAAAAAAATTATCCAATCGGGGCTAGCAATTAATTGAAAAAGCTGGTTAAAGCAACTTTTGTTAAAAAACACCTTAGTTCTCTACACATGTCATTTTATTATTTTCTTACACATCTCGCATTAAATGGAAACATACATGTTCCTATTCCTAGGCTGGTCTTCCTGACCTTTCTCTGAGTGTGGGCTTGCTGAACAGAGTTCCTGTATTGTTACTTTCTAGTTTTGGTTTCTTTAAAACAGAGCAAGAACTTAAAGGCAAAGGAATCTGAGTATGAAAGCCATCTGGGTTTTTACAAAATGTCCCCAATGTTTAGTTATCATGTCTGCATCTTTTTTCACAGAAACATTCTCTGAGTAACTCCAAAGTCATCCCAAAGTAGTCAACAGGTATTTCTAGAAACAACTCGTTTGTCTACTCACTCTGAGGTGCAGCACAGGTGCTTCAGAGCGCAGACTGTGCCACTGGATTCAAACTCCAACTCACTTACTAGCTGATGACCTTGGCTAAGTCATCTAACCTCTCTGTGCCTGTTCCCCATATGTAAATTTGGGGTTTCAGCTATTATTGCTGCTTTGATGGTTCCTGGGATGTTAAATTCAATTATGTAATTACAAGTACAACTGCCATGAACAGGTTTGGAAACCAACTTGACTCTTGATAACCATCTGATTTAACTGACGGAGCCACAGGCCAAGGGTGTACTAGAGACTGGCCTACTGCTGCGAGTGTCCAGCATGCCAAGGGCATTAGTAAGTTTCAAACAAGGAAACGGAAAGCATTAGGTAAGCCGGGTCAGTGACGCCCCTGATAGTTAAGAACAACTGTACTAAATCTGCCACCATCTGTCATCCAACCCTGGCCACAATGAGGGGAATCACCTGAGGAACTGTAAACAACACGATGTCCTCAGAGGCTGATGTAAGTGGTACCAGGTGGCCTGGGCATTTCTAAAAGCTCACAGATCTTTACAAGCAGGGATGAGCACCCAATGGCTAGAAGGGAAGCCCTTGGGGGGCAGGGCCTGCCTTTCTAATCTCACAACTGTACAGTGCCTGGCGTGGTTCCTGGCCACAGCGGGCCTCACATCCTAGCTTTTAAATGAGTAAATGGTGGCCACTAGGTTTCACACACCAGGGACAGGCTTGATTCCCTCTTCCCAGCTCCCCTACTGTACCAGGAGGCAGAAATCAACCACACAATGTTGCTGAGAACAAAGGCACCAATAGGAAGCCTCAGCGGGGAGCAACACTTCCCCCAGAAACAGTTCCAGGAGGTGCCAGGCGCCAGCCAGGGCTGCAGTTAATCATTCACCCCACAGCACAGGAAGTGAGGCCTACGCCAGTCCCAGCCCCAGCCCCAAAGCACAGGAAGTGAGGCCTACGCCAGTCCCAGCCTCAGGACTTCCTGAGTTCCGGGCAGGTCCTCTCAGTCCACACATCATCCAGACGGGACAGCCCAGTCCAAACCAGCCACAGGTGAGGTGGCCTAATGGCCTGGGGCAAAGGCCCTGGGTCCAGTCTCTTCCCCATCCACTCCAAGTCTGACTTCTCTCAGGAGGGACTCATTAACATGTGTGCCCTGAGCACCCCCAAATGACATCACACAAGGGCAGAAAGCAGCTGAAGGGAAAATGTGAAAGGCAGAAAGGGAACTGTGGTTGCCAGGCAACCAGCCTAGCCCACCTTTGTTTGCTTTGGTGACAGCAATGAAGGTCTGGTCAGGGCCCCTTAGCCACGCTCACGCCTTTTCCTCTCAACAGTGGCTTCTTTGAGTCCGGGTGCACCTCTGGTCACCTGGCAGCCTCTTCAGCTCAGCCCTGAGCTGAAGTGTAGGTCTGAAGGACCACCCTGAATTGCCCTTGTAGGACCCAGGACGGCTACCAGCAGAATCAGGTAATGGCTCCCTCCTTCCCCACCTGGGCAGCCCTCACCTGGCTACAGGCTTGCAGTCTGTGATAACGAGCTCTGCTTCTAGAAGTTCTGTTCTCAGCTGTCTCCAAGAAGCCTACCAAGGCCTCAGCTGGAGTTGGCCCCTCCTCGGCTGCTATTCAGATCTCTCGAATGCCTCCCAAATGTTTGGCAGTTGGGGCGGGAAAAACAGGGAGGATCTATCGTGGTACTTTTAAGATTCCAGCCAAGCAGGTCTTGGGAATGGGAGAGAAAGTTCTTGCTCATGCCAGGGCTACTCAGGAAAGAAGGATTGGAGAATCCAGGGGCGGCCCCCAGGAAGAATCCAGGGACCCTCTTCTGGCGCCAGTCCTGGCTTCTGTAGCTAGAGTGGGGAAACACCATTTGCTGCTAGCTGGAGGCATTGAGCACAAACACTATCCAGCCCTTCCATGTCCCCAGCTGCCAGGGAGGCTGGCTGCTACAGAGACTGGATCCAGGGAGCAGAGCATAGCACCTTGGGACAGGGCCTGGGAGGGCTGCCTGCACTCAGGTCGTCTGTCCCTCTTTTCCAGAATCTCATGGACCAACTGGTAATCAAGAAGACAATCTGGAATGATGAGTTCTGGCAGAACCCCTGGGACCAGGGGGGCCTGGCAGTGATTATCTTATTCATCGCCGCTGTCCTGCTTCTCATCTTATTTGCCATTGTGTTTGGTTTACTCACTTCCACAGAAAACACCCAGTGTGGAAAGCGTGAAGAGGAGTGACCTGACTTCCTGGGGGCTGAGACAGCAGCAGGGCGAGGTGAGCTGACCGCCCCCTATTCCGGTGGTGGGTCCCTTTGTGATTGCCTCTGGCTCAGGGGCCAAGCCCTGGTGTCTTCTTTTCCCATGAGGAAAGAATCTAGGAAAATACTGCATCTGGCTTAGGGTTACTCAGACTAATAAGATGGGAAGGCTGATCTGAGACCAATTCTGGGTCCCTGACCCTACTCTTTTTAGGGAACCCTAAAAGCACATGGACAGGATGGCTCCACTGGCTCTGGTGGAAGGAGCAATGGCTAACAAGGTTCTCTAACAGGCTCACAGGCCCAGCCAGCAATTTCACAAATCCTTGACAAAGAAAAACACAACCAGATGCAGAAAAAAATTCCTTTTCAAATCTGCTAACTTGTGAGAGCTCATTTTTAATCTAGATATAGCCACCAGTTCAAGCTTCCCGAACAAAGCCTCACCCGGGCCGGCAGGTCCCTATGCGGTCTGGCCCACCTGTCTCTAGCCATCTCATGCACTCATCCCACCCCACCCTGCCCCTGGGTTCTCAGCATGTCTTTCAGTTCTGGAATATGCCATGTTCTCTCCCACCACAGGGCCTTTGCACATGCTATTCTCATTGACTGGGATGCTCTCCCTTACACCATACTCCATGGCCTCGTTAGTCCTTCCTCATCCTTCATATCTCAGTTTGAACCTGACTCCCTCAGGTAAATCATCCCTAACCCTTGAGGATTAGGGATCCTCAAGGCCACCTGTTTATATACTTTCAAAATACCATTTATAGGACTTACATGTCTTTTTTCATTTGAGATGGGGTCTCACGCCCATTGCTCAGGCTGGAGTACAGTGGCACAGTCTCGGCTCACTGCAGGTTTGACTTCTGAGTTCAGGTGATCCTCCCATTTCAGCCTCCTGAGCAGCTGGGACTACAGGCATGTGCCACCATGCCTGGCTAATTGTGTGTGTGGTTTTTTGTTTTGTTTTGTTAGGTTTTTTTATATTTTTAGTACAGACAGGGTCTTGCCATGTTGCCCAGGTTGGTCTTGAACTGCCAGGCTCCAGTGATCCTCCTACTTCAGCCTCCCAAAGTACTGGTATAAAAGGTGTGAGCCTGGTCAGGAGCGGTGGCTCACGCCTGTAATCCCAGTACTTTGGGAGACCAAGGTGGGCAGATCACCTGAGGTTGGGAGTTTGAGATCAGCCTGACCAACATGGAGAAACCCTGTCTCTTACTGAAAATACAAAATTAGCTGGGCATGGTGGCACAGGCCTGTAATCCCTGCTACTCAGAAGGCTGAGGCAAGAGAACCACTTGAACCCGGAAGGCAGAGGTTGCAATGAGCCAAGATCACGCCATTGCACTTCAGCCTGGGCAGCAAGAGCAAGATTCCATCTCAAAAAAACAGTTGTGAGCCACCATGGCCGGCTCTGGGACTTACATGTCTCTACTGCGTCTGTAGTGCTCTCTTCCCAACTGGACCAAGCACCATAAAACAGGGTGGGGCTCCTTCTGCCCACCATTGTATTCCCCATGTTCAATGTGCCTGGCACAGAGTTGGCATCAGTCAATATTTGTTGGCTGAGTAAATGAATGAATGAGCAAACACATAGATAAGAAGATGCCAGGCACTCCCAGCCCCAAGATCCCAGCAGACAACAGGGCCCAATTCAATCCAGGTCTAAATATAAGGCTGCTCTTCTATCTCAAAATGCTGAGGCCTTAAGCTGGAGGTTACGTCAAACCTAATAACTTTTCCTTATGATACTAAAAGATGCTCATTGTCATGAATAATCAAACACTGCCTTTTCAAGGCTGGAGCCCATAGAAAGTAACTACATGCAGAGAAGAAAGGAAACCACTGGCTGCTGCAGCCCCGCCTAATTAGTAACTGACCCAAGTACCTGGTCAGACCCCACAACAAACTGACAGGAAGCCTACAGCTTCCTCTGCAGAAATGTACCTACTTTGGCGGAGCCGCCAGGTGCCTACCCCAAGGGATTGTTGGTGGGAGGCTGCTTCAATTTCAGCCTTCAACGAGAACCATTTTTAGGGAGCAAATATCTGGTGGAGAAAGGGCGTTTTCTTTGTGCTATACACCAGTTAAGAAACATTCACTTATTCGAAGAACAGTAGCCAATACGACATACCAGCAATGTTTATTACAGTCTGTCGCCTGGATTTCAGAACCATCACACATAGCAAGGAGACAGGTACGAGGCTGCACAAGAGGCAGCCTGAGGCTGTCACTTGGACTCCTCGGGTCCACAGATGCCTGGACCCCAGCTCCTGGCAACCAGGTCACTGACGCACTAAGAAGTCCCAGCTCCCCGGAAGGTGACAGGAGAAATAAAGGCAGAGGCCCTTAGGAGGACCTGTTCCCATGCCTGGCAGGCTGAGCAGACCCCGGGGACAGGCAGAGTTAACCCTCCAGAGAGGCTTCCAGAGCCTCAGACAGCCCCAGGGCTTTTTTTCAGCAAAGAAGACTCACAATGAACAGGAACACTTGGCCCTTTCATTCCTCACCAGAAATGAGAGCTCTGCTCAAGAAGCCTAAGAAGGCCAAATTTAGCAACCCCTGTATTAATTGTTCTTGAAAAGGGCTCTGGTGGCAACGGCTGCAGGCCAAGGGTGGTCCCGGCACTATAGCCAACCACTTCTGCTGGGCGTGGTCATGCCACAGAGGCCAAATTAGAGATGGCAGTTTGGAGAAGAAAATAGCTTCAGTCCAGGAGCCACCGACTCAGTGGTGAACAGGAGGAGGTAAAAATAAAAACATACAGCCCAAAGAAGAGCTGCTCTGATTCTCCCTGAGGAGAGCCCAAACATCTATTAGACACCAGTTCCGTGCACTCAGCATCGTGCTTCAGGACGCTCCTCTTGCAAAAACCAAGATGGCCCAAGTGTATGAAAATGAGCACACCATTGATAATCAGGAGATGGGAGTTCAGTGGCCTCGGTCTACCATGAGTTTTGTGACTGTGACCTCCCTGGACCTTGATTTATTCACCTAAGTCTGATGCAATCACGTCAGCATCATCCCCTCACGGGATCATTCCATGAGATCAGATGGATCCAAAAGCTTTTTAGACCAAAATGTAAACGACTCCTCCTGGTGTCTCTCACCCAGGCACTCACACTGAGTGCTTGGACACAACCTGACTACACTGAGCAGTCCTCTGGCTTTTTCCAGGGTCCTAGCCCCATTGTCTGAAGATGCAGGTAAAACAGATGAGAGTGTTCAAAGCACATGACTCCCTGAGGTAAGCGGGGCCACAGGCTTCTGTGTGGGTCCTGGATAAGGGTGAGGACTACTCAAGTGAAGCCAGACATCCCAGCTCAGTGGCACACAATGACCACAAAGCTGACAGCTCAGAGCTGGTCACATCCCTTGGGACTGAGTGGCCTGTGATGCCAGCCATCTCAGAAGAGGGTGGAGTGGGGGGAAGGATACCACCCAGAATGCTGAGCAAATCCCCACACTGCCAGAGTTCCTGGGGCCTCCAACAGAGAAGAGCAAGATCCTGACTTCCACACTGCCCAATGCAACAGCCTTCACAGGCAAGGGTCCCTTGGTAGCCTACAGGCTGTCTTACGTCAGCTGCTTAAATAAGGGGTGCCGGGGGAGTAAACGATGTCACTGACACTTTGCTCCTCATACAAAATAAGTTACTTACCCCAGTTCTTCACAGAAGGTCACCAGGGCATCAAAGGCCATGATACTGGCTTTATCAGATGCTTTGTTCCCTCTCTTTTCCTGGGGACAAAAAATGACCACTTAGCAAGTCTTATAGAATTGGACTACCTTAGAGCCACAAAAAGTAATGAGGAGGCCGGGCACAGTGGCTCACATCTGCAATCCCAACACTTTGGGAGGCTTAGGCAGGCAGATCAGTTGAGGTGAGGAGTTCGAGAACAGCTAGGCCAAATGGTGAAACCCTGCCTCTACTAAAAACACGAAACAATTAGCCAGACATGATGGCGCATGCCTGTAGTCCCAGCTACTCAGAAGGCTGAGGCAGAAGAATTGCTTGAACCCAGGAGGCGGAAGTTGCAGTGAGTCAAGATTATGCCACTGCATTCCATCTCAAAAAAAGAAAAAAAAGTAATGAGGGAGAAAAATATTAGATGACAGTAATAAAGCCACTTAAAAAGTATCCCCAGACCTGACTATATATCATTGCCACAGACTACTGAACTGAATTTTCTGGGATGAGCTTTTGAGCATTTCTGAAAAGGTTCTCAGGAGATTCTCATGTAAAGGGCCCGTGGATTGGCATTTGGGAAGCACTATATAATATGACCCATTTTAATAACAGTAAATACATGGACAAATGTTGCGTACTTAAAATATGTATGAACATATAAATTTCAGTGTATACTGGAGGGAGATATATTAAAATGTTAAGTGATTATTTTTGACAAGCTTAAAACATGAATTTAAAATATAATTTGTATGTTACTGGATGGCAAGAAACAGAAAAGAAAAAAGAAGGAAAAAAATAATAATAATAAAATACAATTTATAAAATGCTTGATCTATGGCCAGGTGCAGTGGCTCACGCCTGTAATCCCAACACTTTGGGAGGCCAAGGAGGGTGGGGAATCACCTGAGGTCAGGAGTTCGAGACCAGCCTGGCCAACATGGTGAAACCCCATCTCTACTAAAAATATAAAAATTAGCCGGATCTCCTGGGCTCAAGTGATCCTTCCACCTCAGCCTCTAGAGCAGCTGGGATTACACTGGCAGGCACCTGTAATCCCAGCTACTTGGGGGGCTGAGGCATGAGAATCATTTGAACTTGAAGGCAGAGGGTGCAGTGAGCCAAGATTGTGCCACGGCCCTCCAGCCTGGGCGACAGAGACTCTCTCTCAAAAACAAACAAACAAAAAAACGAGACACTGATATTGGAGACATTGTCTATTGAGTTTCTGCTTTGGGCAGGTAATTCATCCCCACCAACACCAACACACACAAATACACACAGATTCTGTACCTGCAACTTTCCAAACAGGTTTACAACACAATTTCTTATGAAATCCCTATTTTCCTCATTACGACTCTGTCAACAGAGTTCAGAACTAAACCGAGTGATTGCATTTTTATATTTCCTATGATCACATTTCCTCTCTTGTATAACTGTGTTTCCCCTGAAATTAATATCTTTGCTATTTTCTATTTACTTAGATTTCAGTATGTCATTAATTCACCCCTAACAGTCCTAACAAAATGAACAGTTCATTTGGATGTGAGTCAGAGATGCCAGCTTCCACTGTGATTTTTGGAACCTTCCTTCCTGGAGTTTTCTGCCCCCTAGTGCAATCCGAAGGCCTGGGACACAGCTATCTTTCAGGACTACCCTCCAATATTGTCCTGAACCAAGACTTACTCCTGGGTAAGTCTCCATCTTTGCTTTCTAGGTTTACTGCCTCTTTACAATGGAGAACATCCTTTAATAGCTTCTGAGACATGACATATTGAGGAAAGTTTTTAAACCTTTGTATCTGAAAATGTCTTATTTCCTTCAAGTTTCCACATACAGCATTAAATATTTATTTATTCATTATTTATTTAGGAAACAGAGTCTTGCTCTGGAGTGCAGTGGCATATGACCATAACTCACCACAGCCTTGAATTCTTGGGCTCAAGCAATCCTCCTGGCTCAGTGTCCTGAGTAGCTAGGACTACAGGCACATATTACCATCCTCAGCTAATTTTTATTATTATTTTTTGAAACAGGGTCTCAGTCTGTTACCCAGGTTGGAATGCAGTGGTATAATCTCAGTTCACTGCAGTCTTGACCTCCTGGGCTCAAGTGATCCTCCTACCTCAGCCTCTTTAGTAGCTGGAACACAAACCCAGCTAACTTTTTAAATATTTTGTAGAGATGAAGTCTTATTACATTGCCCAAACTAGTCTCAAACTCCTGGCCTCAAGAGATCCACTCATGTCATTTTCCCGAAGTGTTGGGATTACAGGCATGAGCTACCTCACCCGGCCTAAATTTGAGCATCTTTAAATGAGTCATTTGATAAACTTTTCTGGGAACTTTCTTTTCATATTCTTTGCTTTTCATATCCTTTTTTTTCTTGTCAATAGGTAAAAGCTGTTTATTCAGCCAGGCGCAGTGGCTCATGCCTGTAATCCCAGCACTTTGGGAGGCTGAGGCGGGTGGAGCACGAGGTCAAGAGATCAAGACCATCCTGGTCAACAAGATGAAACCCTGTCTCTACTAAAAATACAAAAATTAGCTGGGCATGGTGGTGCACGTCTGTAGTCCTAGCTACTCAGGAGGCTGAGGCAGGAGAATTGCTTGAACCCAGGAGGCAGAGGTTGCGGTGAGCCGAGATCGTGCCATTGCACTCCAGTCTGGGTAACAACAGTGAAACTCTGTCTCAAAAAAAAAAAGAAAAAAAAAAGCTGTTTATTCTTTTGTTTGCCTTCTATATTAAAATATTTCCCCAGATTCACTATTTATCTATTGACATTGTTTATGGTATCCTTTGTCATATTTCATATTTTCAGGTTTTATAGAAATTTAAAAGTTTTTATATATTTAATATATAGCAGGCCGGGTGCAGTGGCTCACGCCTGTAATCCCAACACTTTGGGAGGCCAAGGCGGGCAGATCACGAGGTCAGGAGATCAAGACCATCTTGACCAACATGGAGAAACCCATCTCTACTAAAAATACAAAAAATTAGCCAGACATGGCGGCATGTACCTGGAGTCCCAGCTACTCAGAAGGCTGAGGCAGGAGAATAACTTGAACCAGGAAGGCGGAGGTTGCAGTGAGCTGAGTGCGCCACTGCACTCCAGCCTGGTGACAGAGCGAGACTCTGTCTCAAAACAGTAACAACAACAACAAAAACACAATATAGAGCTATCTGGGTTTTTAATCTTCATTATAAAAGTATCCTCAGTTCTAGATTATACATTGGACTACGTTTTCTTGTAAAATATTGCTCATTATTTCAATGTAGGTCCTTAATCTGTCTGGAATTTGTTTTTTGTTTGGTTGTTTTTGAGACAGGGTTTCTACTGCCCAGGCTGGAGTGCAGTGATGGGATCACACCTCCCTGTAGCTTCAACCTCCTAAGCTCAAGCAATCCTCCCACTTCAGCCTCCTGAGTAGCTGAGACCACAGGCTAGCACCATCATGCCAGGCTAATTTTTGAAATTTTTGTAGAGATGGGCTTTCACCATGTTGCCCATCCTGGTCTCAAACTCCTGGGCTTAAGTGATCCACCTACCTCAGCCTCCCGAAGTGCTGGGATTACATGCATGAGCCACTGTACTTGGCTCCAGAGCTTCTTTTCTCCTGATGAGGTCTAAGTTTTCTTTATCTAGACCAGTGGTTGTCAACGCTGGCCATGTATTAAAAGCAACTGGGGAGATTTATTATTTTTTTTTGAGATGGAGTTTTGCTGTTGCTGCTCAGGCTAGAGTGCAACAACGCAATCTCAACTCACCGCAACCTCCACCTCCCTGGTTCAAGTGATTCTCCTGCCTCAGCCTTCCAAGTAGCTGAGATTACAGGCATGCGCCATCACACCCAGATTATTCTATATTTGTTAAGTAGAAATGGGGTTTCTCCAGAGATTTTTGAAAAAAACTATTATTAACAGCTTGTAACATTTATTCCTAGGTATTTTATAACTTTTATTGTTGAAAATTTTTTTTGTTTCTATTTCTAGGTATTTATGGTAATGTGGTGAAAAGTTACTGATTTTTTTTTTTTTTAGAAAGAAAAAGAGGGAAAAAGAGGAAAAAAAGAGGGAAACAGAGAAAAAGAGGGAAAAAGAAATATTACTTCATTCCTGAAATAGGTATCAATAATGGCCGATCAATATTTTGTGTGTTTAAAGTGGATAATGTATATTTTGTGTGTTTAAAATGGATCTGAGTTCAAGTCCTGGATATCGTTATCAATTTTCTGTCTCGTTGAATCTAAATCTCATTATGGGTCTTATGTATCTGGATGTTAAGATCTCTTATTATTACATTAATCCTTTTACCCTTGTATCCTTGTAGCTTTGAAATCTATTTTATTAATTATGAGAATTGCAACTCCTGCTTTTTATTATTTATTTTTGCTCTCCATTTGGTTAAGTTTTTTTCCAACCCTTTATTTTGAGTCTTTGTATATATTTAGATATACCATTAGATTTTGTCTGTATCTTTTGATTGGGGGATTTAGTCGATTTAAATTTAGGGTTACTGCCATTTGATATTAACTGGCTATTTTATCCTTTCGTTAATGTAAATTCTTCTTTATGTTAATGCTCTTTACTTTTTGGTGTGTTTTTAGAAAGGCTCATACTGGTTGTTCCTTTCTATATATAATGCTTCTTTTAGAAGTTCTTGTAAAGCAGGCCTGGTGGTAATAAAATCTCTGAGTACTTGCTTATTCCTAAAAGATTTTATTTTTCCTTCAATTATAAAGCTTAAATTGGCAGGATATGAAATTCTGTGCTGAAAGTTCTGTTCTTTAAGTATATTGAATATTGGCCCCCACTCTCTTCTAGCTTGTAGGGTTTCCACTGAGAGATCTGCTATAAGCCTGATAGGCTTCCCTTTATGGGTAACCTGATCTTTTCCTCTGGCTGCCCTTAATATTTTCTCCTTCGTTTCGATCCTGGTGAATCTAACGATTATGTGCCTTGGGGTTGGTCTTGAGGAGTATCTTTGTGGTGTTCTCTGTATTGCCTGGGGTTGAATAGTGTCCTGCTTTGCTAAGTTAGGAAAATTTTCCTGGATAATGTCCTGAAAAGTATTTTCCAGCTTGAATTCATTCTCTCCATCACATTCAGGTACACCAATCAAACGTATATTAGGTCTTTTCACATAGTCCCATATTTCTTGGAGACTTTGCTCATTCCTTTTTATCCTTTTTTCTCTATTCTTGTCTTGTCATTTTATTTCATTAAGTTGGTCTTCGACCTGATATCCTTTCTTCTGCTTGATCCATTCGGCTATTTAAGCTTGTACATATTTCACTAAGTTCTCGTGTTGTATTTTTCAACTCCATAAGTTCATTTGTATTCCTCTCTATATTGTCTATTCTTTCATCATTTCATCGAACCTTTTTTCAAAGTTCTTAGTTTCTTTACATTGGGTTAGAACAAGTTCCTTTAACTCCCAGAAGTTTCTTATCATCCACCTTTTAAAGCCTACTTCAGATAATGGAACACAGTCCTTTTCCATAAAGACTTGTTCTGTTGCTGATGAGTCCTTTTCCATCAGGGCTTGTTCCGTTGCTGATGAGTCCTTTTCCATCAGGGCTTGTTCCGTTGCTGATGGGTTCTGATTTTGGGTATACTCGGCCTTCTTAGGCTGTTTTTTTCCCTTCATTGTAGATGAACCACCTTTCTAATTAGGTTTCTGAGTCGACATCCGATTTATTGATTCCCAGTGCTGGGATCCAAGCAACCCACTGTGGCAGCCTATATAGCAGTGATAAAACTGATGGTGCTCTTCTGCCCAGGAATCTCTGGTCTGGCTTCCCTCTTGAGTCCACAACAAGCGGCTCTGACTTCCCAGAGCTCCAAACTCCGGTCAGTAGGGGAAGCAGTTCCGTTTGCTCTGCATGAAGAGTGCCAGCAAAACCGCTGCGGCGGCCACAAGAGTCGCGCTGGCGACCCGTGGGGCTCCTCCACTGGGAATCGGCTAATCTGTAAGTGACGAAAATTCATCTAAAAGTGTGGCGTCGTCTCGTTCTCTGAGCTTTCACTGGGAGCTACAATCCCGAGCTGTTAGTGATTGGCCATCTTGGATCTGAATCTCGAAAAGTTACTGATTTTTTTTCCTTGGATTTCATCTGTTCATCTAACTAGAGAAAAGCTACCAATCTTTAAACTTTTTTTTTTCTGAGGCAGAGTTTTGCTCTTGTTGCCCAGGCTGGAGTGCAACGGCACGATCTCACTGCAACCTCTGCTTCCAAGGTTCAAGTGATTCTCCTGCCTCAGCCTCCCAAGTAGCTGGGATTACAGGCATGTGCCACCACACTTGGCTAATTTTTGTAGTTTTTAGTTGAGATGGGTTTTCTCCATGTTGGTGAGGCTGGTCTCAAACTCCCGACACAACATTATGCTTTAGGGAATTTATCCCTGTTGATTTGTGCAAATTTACTGTGCCATTTTTAACTCCTCTGAACCATTCCACTATGTGACTAAAACAGTTCATTCATCCATTACCCTACAGAAGAGCAGCTAGATTTAACTATTATAGCATTGCAGCAAACATGCTTGTTCATCCTTATACATGTACATTCTTGTACACATGATGATTTATCTACCAAGAAGTGGAATTACTGAATGACAGAGCACTGGTGTCTTCCACTTTATAAGTATCATCTCACATTTTTCTTTGAAGCAGCTGAAGCAGTTTATGTTCCTGACAACAAACTTTTTTTTAGACAGTCTCACTCTGTTACCCAGTCTGGAGAGCAGTGGCATGATCTTGGCTCTCTGCAACCTCTGCCTCCCAGTTTCAAGCGATTATCCTGCCTCAGCCTCCTGAGTAGCTGGTACTACAGGTGCTGCCACCACGCCCCACTAACTTTTTGTATTTTTAGTAGAGACGGGGTTTCACTGTGTTTGCCAGGATGTTCTCCATCTCCTGACCTCATGATCTGCCCACCCTGGCCTCCCAAAGTGCTGGGATTACAGACGTGAGCCATGCGCCGGGCAACATTGTTAAGACGAACCCTCTCCCCACATCCTTACCTACAGTGATTATAAAGACATTTTTGCCAACATGATGGGTGTAAAATGATGGCTTGTTGTCTAATTTGTGTACTTCTGCTTGGTAGGTGAGGTTGAACATCTCCTCGTATATTTATTAGCTACTCTGTTTTCCTCTTCTATGAAATACCTATTCATCCTTTTTGCTATGCAGGTGTATGCCTTTTTAAAATTTACCTATAAAAGCTCTCTATATAGTCAGTCAATTTTATATATTGCAAATATGTTCCCCAATAAGGGCTCATTTCATGACTTTATTTATGGTAGTTTCTATTATATGGAAATTTTTAGTTTGAATTTATTCAAATAGATTATTTTCTTTGGGGTTTCTGCTTTTAAGATCTTGAGATACTCTTTTCTTCCTCAGGATCATAAAATATTCCCCCCCCAATTTTACAGTCTGTTGAGGTTTTTAATCCATCTATAATTCATATGTGTGTGGTATCAGGTAGGAATATAACTTTATCTTTTTTCAGCACAAACTTTTCAAAAGTTAATCCTTTCCATGTTGATTTATAATGACACCTATCATACATCAAGTTCCCTTATATCCTTGGCTCTGATTCTAGATTTTCTACAAAGAATATATAACCAGTAAAAGAAAAAAAAGAACTAATAACAATACGGAAAAGTGCTTACATAGCAATGCTAGAGCACTGCCTTAAAACAAGGCAAGAGTAGCCATAAAAAACGATTGGTTTGTATCCTTTGTAGGGACATGGACGAACCTGGAAACCATCATTCTCAGTAAACTGACACAAGAACAGAAAATCAAACACTGCATGTTCTCACTCATAGGTGGGTGTTGAACAACGAGAACACATGGACACAGGGAGGGGAGCATCACACACTGGGGTGTGCTGGGGGGAAATAGGGGAGGGACAGCAGGGGGTGGGGAGTTGGGGAGAGATAGAATAGGGAGAAATGCCAGATACAGGTGATGGGGAGGAAGGCAGCAAATCACACTGCCATGTGTGTACCTATGCAACAATCTTGCATGTTCTTCACGTGTATCCCCAAACCTAAAATGCAATTAAAATAAAATAAATTAAGGTTTAAAAAAAAAAAAAAAAAACAAGGCAAGACTGGCTGGGCTTGGTGGCTTACACCTGTAATCCCAGCACTTTGGGAGGCTGAGGAGGGCGGATCACCTGAGGTCGGGAGATCAAGACCAGTCTGAGCAATATGGAGAAACCCCATCTCTACTAAAAATACAAAATTAGCTGGGCATGGTGGCTCATGCCTGTAATCCGAGCTACTCGAGAGGCTGAGGCAAGAGAATCGCTTGAACTGGGGAGGCAGAGGTTGCAGTGAGCCGAAATTGTGCCATTGCTCTTCAGCCTGGGCAACAAGTGTGAAACTCCATCTCAAAAAAAAAAACAAAAAAACAAGTTAAGACTGACTGGGTACAGTGGCTCACATCTGTAATCTCAACACTTTGGGAGGCTGAAGTGGGAGGATCACTTGAGCCCAGGAGTTCAAGACTAACCTAAGCAACATAATAAGACCTCGTCTCTACAAAACAAACCAACAAAAAACAAGGCAAGATTAAGCCAGGTGCTGTGGCGCATGCCTCTAGTCCCAGGTACTTCAAGTACCTCGGTCAAGCCCAGGAGTTCAAGGGTATAGTGTGCTATGATTACACCTGTGAATCGCCACTCCACTGCACTCTAGTGTGGGCAACACAGTGAGACCCTATCTCTTTAACAAAAGAAACAAGGCAGTACTGATCTTGACCACATAAAATAACATGTACACGAAAGACAATATTAAGGTTGGGTGCAGTAGCTCACACCTGTAATCTCAGTAGTTTGGGAGGCTGAGGTGGGAGGATTCCTTGAGCCCAGGAGTTCTGAGACCAGCCTGAGCACCACAGTGAAACCCCATCTCTGCAAAAAATTGAAAAAAAAAATTAGCCAGGCATGGTGGCACACACCTGTGGTCCCAGCTACTCAAGGTGGGAAGATTATTTATTGCCAGGAGTTAGAGGCTGCAGGGACCATGACCATGCCACTGCACTTCAGACTGGGTGACAGTGAGAGACCCTGCCTCTAAAATATTAAGATTATTTAAATATTTACAAAGAAAAAGTTGTTTCTTTTCTTTATATTTCTAGGTACCTACCCAATGTGCCATTTCCCCTTGCCATACCTACGGGCTGGGAGCAGCCTCCTCTAGCTTACACAAACATCATCTGGGTTCAGAAATCAGCTTCACAAAACTGGACAGTAGTGGGTCAGACTGAGATACACTCTACTGCCCAGGCCTTACCTGGAGTTTGGCTACTTCCTTCCTAATCAGGAAGCTGACTTGGTCCCGGTCATTCCTGGAGTAATAGAGACGGCACCAGGAAGGTTTCCCGTCCCTGCCGGCTCGGCCAGATTCCTGGTAGTACCCAGCCATAGACTTGGCAATATTCCAATGGGCAACAAACCTGTAGGATCCAAAGGGACAAGCAGTATGAGACGGTGGAGAAGTTGAGTGTCCTTTGGAGGAGTAATCATGAGTAGAAGAGCAGGGAAGCCAGCTGAGAGGGAGGCAGAGGATGGTCCCAGAGTTAGCATGGTTAAGACACCGGCATCCCATCGGCACGTCTCCTTGCTAGGAGCAGCCCAGCTTAGAGGCCACAGTAGGAGTTAATGGGGGCAACTCCAGCACATATGAGGGACCAAAAAACTCAGCCAGGGCCCAGTGGAAAAAACACTGACCTAAAGAAACAAGATGAGGCTCTGCCACTTATGAGCTATACACATTTCAATAAGCTATTTATAACTTCTTTGGAGAGGGAAACAATATTTACTAAATACCTACTATGAGCCAGTTTATACATTTGTCTCATTTAACTGTTAGTCACCATAATGTGAGATAGCCCATTCTCCAGAAGATGAGCTTGGGATTCAGAGGTAAATTTGTACAAGGTCACACAGTAAAGGGACAGAAGAGCTAGAATTTGGGCCTATGGGTCTCTCTGCCTTCAAAACTGGCACCAGAGACCTAGGGTTCATTTTATTTATTTTGTCTTTTTTTAATTGTATTTATTTTTTTGAGACAAGAGTCTCGCTCTGTCACCAGGCTGGAGTGCAGTGGCACAATCTCAGCTCACTTCAACTTCTGCCTCCCAGGTTCAAACGATTCTCCTGCCTCAGCCTCCTGAGCAGCTGGGACTACAGGCGCGAGCCACCATGCCCAGCTAATTTTTGTATTTTTAGTAGAGACGGGGTTTCACCATGTTGGCCAGTATGGTCTCAATCTCTTGACCTTGTGATCTACCTGCTTCGGCCTTCCAAAGTGCTGGCATTACAGGCGTGAGCCACTGTGCCCAGACTTGTTTTTTATTTTTTAAGACAGGGTCTTGCTTTGTTGCCCAAGCTAGAGTATGGTAGCAGAGTGATAGGTTGTTACAGCCTCAATCTCCTGGCCTTAAGTGATCCTTCAACCTCGGCTTTGCAAGTAGCCAGGACTACAGACACCTATGACTATACCTGGCTAATTTTTAATTTTATAGAGGTGGAGTCTTGCTATGTTGCCCAGGCTGGTCTCGAACTCTTGGGCTCATGCAATTTTCCCATGTGGTCCTCCTAAAGTGCTGGAATTATAAGTGTGAGCCACTACACGAGGCTGCAGATTCAGGGTTTGAACTCTGATTCTAAAGTTGGTGTTCTTTCAAATGTAGTGCACTATAAAATCTCTACCCTGACTAAGTCAGGGTCACTGTGAGGTTCACCAAGACCATGTATGCAAACATGCTCCATAAATCATACAATGTATTATTGTTTGGTGTTAATCAGAGCAAAGGCAGGCTGTAGCCCAAAATGCCTCTTGAAGATCGTGGCCAGACATAAAAGACTTCTAGTAGTTGCCAATGTGGGGCTAGGAGGCTGGGATGCACTGACTCTTCTAGACTATTAGTAAGCAGTAATAAGAAATGATGATCCTAAGAGCTTTGCCTTTGACCTTTCACAGGGAACAGCTTAAAATACAGTCATACATTACTTCATGATGGGGATCCAATTTGTGTTTTGGTGCTTTTTTGTTTCTCTGTTTAAGACAGGGTCTTGCTCTGTCGCTTAGGCTGGAATGCAGTGGCACAATCTCCATTCACTGCAACCTCCGCCTCCCAGGCTTAAGCAATCCTCCCACCTCAGTCCAAGTAGTTGGGACTATAGGCATGCGCCACCAAACCTCGCTAATTTTTAGGTATTTTTTGTTGAGATGGAGGTTTTGCCACGTTGCCCAGGCTGGTCTCAAACTCTTGGACTCAAGCAATCCACCTGCCTTGGCCTCCCAAAGTGCTGGGATTATAGATGTGCACTGTGCCCAGCCAGGGATACGTTCTGAGAAATGACTTGTTAGGAGACTTCATCATTGTGTGAACATCACAGTGGATAGTCTTTATGTAAACCTAGATGGTACTGCAGGCTCCACAGCTATGCTGCAAACATGCATTGTGTGTTACTGTACTGAATACTGTAGGCAACTGTAACACAAATCACTAGGTGATAGGAATTTTTCAACTTCATTATAACCTTACAGGATCCCAGTCTATGCACTCTGTCATTGACCAGAACATCAATATGATATGCACGACTATAGTTACTTTATTCCCACCTCCTTGCAGGATCTGCCTACTGAGATGTGAGTGAACAGGGCTGTGTGAAAGGACAAGCCTGACCGACTGCATACTGCCACATCCTGCGGGTGGCAGAACCGTGCTGTGCAGTCACCTGGGAGCAGGCCACACGGGAACTGTCCGCATTCAGGCTGTGTTCTAAGGACTATCTCCTGAAACTTCTTTCTCCTCTGGCCCTCGAAGGAGCACATGGACCTGGTCCTTTGGGCACAGCACTAGGCAATCCACCCTGAGCCAGGACCAGACCAGGAAGGCAGGGCAAGAACCAAAGCTCACCTGACGTTGGCTTTATCCACTCCCATCCCAAAACTAATGGTTGCAACAATTACAGGGACCTTCTCCTCCATCCACTCGTTCTGCACCAGCATTCTTTCAGAAACCTTCAGCCCTGTAAAGGAGAGAAAGATGGAGAAGGGAACTCACATTTCCCTTGAGTTTACCCAAGGTTTATTTTGGGTTTGATACTGTGCTAGGCACTTCACAAACCCTGAATCCTTCACCTCCCAGCTGTCTGATCTTACATAAGGCACTTAACTTTACTGAGCCTCAGCTGACAGACACAAAGACCCTAGTCCATGTGTGGCACGGAGCATTCAGTTAAGGTCGGGACCACGATTCAAACCCAAACCTGTTGGCCTCCAAAACCTTTGCTCTTCCTACAACACCATTACCTGGGCTTGTAAAAACTCATTACCAAGTCAGGTGCAGTGTCTCATGCCTATAATCTCAGCACTTGGGAAGCTGAGGCAGGTAGATCACCTGAGGTTGGGAGTTCGAGACTAGCCTAACCAACATGGAGGCTAGTCTCGAACTAAAAATACAAAATTAGCTGGGCATGGTGGTGCCTGCCTGTAATCCCAGCTACTTGGGAGGCTGAGGCAGAAGAATTGCTTGAACCTGGGAAGTGGAGGTTGCAGTGAGCCAAGATGATGCCATTGCAGTCCAGCCTAGGCAACAAGAGTGGAACTCCACCTCAAAAAAACAGATAACAAAAAAACCTCATCACCTGCTGCTGGGTAGGCACACAGTAAGAACTCAGGAGTCACAATTCTCATTTTAGACTTCATTCATGTCTAGACTCCTTTTGGGGGCTTTAAGTGAATCGCTTTAGCTCTGCCTGAGTATCTGCGATAAGACAGTGGGGCACCTGATAATCAGAATCTGTAAAGAACAAGAGACCTGCTGAGAAGCCTCTGAGGGTGAAGAGACCCACGTGGCCTGGGCACCCCTTACCTGCATGGTAAGCCTTGGCGTTCACGCCCCTGCAGCTAAGCTCTATTGCCAGCTGTTCACAAGCCTCTCTAGTCCTGCAGTAGACAATGCCGCAGCCAGACAACTGAATGGGGAGATGCAGGAAAAAAATAAGCATGGCAAGAACAGAACAATCGGCCCAATGTAGTTCTGGTCTAAAAGAAGCTATGTGTTCCTTCCCTTGTCAGTTTCACAGTCGCCTCTGAGGCAGGACACCCAGCAAAGCTCTGCCACTTTATATAAAGCAGGACCAGACTGGCTGCAATGGCTCATGCCTGCAATCCCAGTAATTTGGGAGGCCGAGGTGGGGGGATCACTTGAGGCTAGGAGTTAGAGACCAGCCTGGGCAACACAGAAAGATCCCATATCTACAAAAAAATTTTTTTAAATTAGCTGGCCATGGTGGTACATTCCTGTGGTCCCAGCTACTTAGGAGGCAGAGGCAGGAAGACCACTTGTGGCCGTGAGTTAGAGGCTGCAGTAAGCTAGATCACACCACTGCATTCCAGCCTTGGCAACAGATTACAGGTAATCCTTATTATTTAAACATGTTTTAATTTAAAAATTTAAAAAGCAGGCCCAAAGCTGCTCAAAACTCAACCTATTTAACTTCTCTGGCCCCTCCTCTCAAATTCTGCATGGGTCACACGGAAGGGCTGGCTGCTTGCCTTCCGCAGAAGGATCCAGGACAAGGGAACCCCAGTAAGAAGGACAATGCCAGGAAACCAAAGGGACAACTCTCTTTGTGCACGAGTTTTAAGAAGCCTGACTGAGGAAGCTAGAAAAAGCAAAGACCCATCTCCATCTCCATATTGCACCCCACTGCTCTAGCAGCTGCTTGGCCCTCAGTGCCTCACCCCTTTATCAGCCTTCTGTCCAAGTGCCTTAAGGCAGAAGTCCTTCAGGTTCCCATAGGGATCAGAAATCAGTTCCTTGAATTGCACATCATAGAAGAGATTGGCCCGGAAGCAGGGAGTCTTGAAGATGGCAACTGGTTGCTTCAGGTGCAGGGCAGCAAACACGTCCTCTTGGACCTGTGGGGTGGCTGTGGCAGTCAGAGCCACACACGGGGCATGTCCTAGGCGGGAGCGCAGGGCACCCAGACGCAAGTAGTCAGGACGAAAGTCATGCCCCCATTGGGAAACACAATGAGCTTCATCCACCACCAAGTAAGACAGCAGGTAGCGGGACACCAGGGAGTTCAGGGTGGGCTGGAAGGAGGATGAAGCTGCCATTTCCGGGGTGATGTACAGAATCTTGGTCTGGGGCTTTTCTTGCTTCAGGTCAGCAAGCAGTTCCTTCCTTTCCTGTGCAGAGAGCTTCGAGTTCAGGGAACTTACTCGTACCTTTAGGGCTAGCAAGTGGTCCACTTGGTCCTAAGAGAAGAGAAAGGGGCTATAATTGTTCCTCAGGACTCAGGTAAATATCACTGCAAGTCCCTAGAGGATTTCCTAGTCATAAATTGTCCTCCCTCCATTCTCCAATATGCCTTCTCTTTGCATAGAAGTAGTATAGGTTGAATATCCCTTATCCCAAATGCTTGGGACCAAAAGTGTACTAGATTTCAGATATTTCTGGATTTGGGAGTATTTGCAGATTGCATATACATAATGAGATATCCTGAGGATGAGACCCAAGTCTAAACGAAATTCATTTTTTCTCTCTTATATACCTTATACATATAACCTAGATTAATTTTATACAATATTTTTCATAATTTTGGGCATGAAAAAAGAGTTTTGATTGCAACCCATCACACGAGGTTAGAAAGGTGTGGAATTTTCCACTTGTGGCGTCGTATCAGCAACAAAATTTTTTGGATTTTGGAGCATTTCAGATTTCAGATTTTGGCATTAGGGATGCTCAGCCTGTATGGAAGGTGAAGTGGTTTAGAAGACAGGCCCTGAAGTCAGACAGACCTAGATTTAATCCTGGCTCACTTAATTGCCACATGCCCAGTCACTGTTTCTTAACCCTTTGAACAATTTATACAATTCTATCTAATAGAATTATTGTATAAATTAAAATTTACATCTCAGAGATGAAATTAATGTATGTAACCCACAAAGCACAAAGCCTAGGACCTGGTGAACATTCACCAAGCTATTACCGTTTTTCCCCCTCTACCTTTCTCCATGGTGGATGGCTCTTACCGACACAGCCACACTTCCTCAATTCCGATTCTATTGGCCCATCTGCAGGCCTTAAATAGTCAGAACACCTGTAGAGCGGCTCTTAACAAGGCTCTAGCCCGTTTCTCTTCTTTTTTTCTGTTTCATACTGTGCTCTTACCAAAATAAGGAAGACACTGGATTTCTCCATATCAACCTATCTATCCATTTGCAACTTCTATCCCAGCATCATGAGTGCACGTGTGTGTAACATGAGACTGAGTGTATATGTGTGTACAAATACAGTTTCATACTCCTCTGGACAAAAAAAAATAATAAAGAAGGGCGAGGGACCTCAGAGGAGTCATTCATAACCCCCTAGAGTGATATGCACCAGTGGAGAACGCCACACTGGTGAAACACAGAAACCCAATATAGAGAATGAGATAGGCAAATCATAAAAAGTAAGAGGCAGGGCTGGGTGTGGTGGCTTATGCCTGTAATCCCAGGACTTTGGGAGGCCGAGGCAAGAAGATGACTTGAAGTCAGGACTCTGAGACCAACCTGGGCAATATGGTGAAACCTCATCTCTATTAAAAATACAAAAATTAGCCAGGCATAGTGGCATATGCCTGTAATCCCAGCTACTTGGGGGGCTGAGGCACAAGAATTGCTTGAACCCAGGAGGCACAGGCTGCAGTGAGCTGAGATTGCTCCACTGCACTTCAGCCTGGGCGACAGAGTGAGACTCAAAGAAAAAAAAAGAAAAGAAAATAAGAGGCAAAAGACCAACAGAGAAGTGAAATTTCCAGCCTCAAAACACCTTCCCCAAATCTTTTTGGGCTACCATCTTTATTGCCCTAAGCCTCACCTGAATCAAAGCAATGAGAGGAGAGACTACAATGGTGATGCCCTCGGCCAACAGTGCAGGTAGCTGATAGCACAGGGATTTTCCTGCCCCTGTGGGCATGCATACAAAGACGTCAGTGTTACCTGCAAAATACAAGACAACAATATCTCAGTGCTTCCTGCCTTTTCATTGAGGTTGTTGAAAATTAAATGAGAATATAGGAAAAGCACCTAGCAGAGTGTCTGTCACACGGGAGAGTCTCATTGTAATGCTAATTCCCCTCCTGTCCTTTATATGAAAAAAGCAGGGATTCTGGGCAATTTGGATAAGTGCACAGACCATTTCTAGTAATGGTAATAAAAACAAGATTTAAGAAGTCTGAGTCTGCTGCGATATAAATGATTGAACTAAACAGCCATGGAAACAGAGTACTGCTAGATGCGTGGGCACCTCTGTGTAGACATGGAAGGTCATTCCTTAGAGGGCTTTTGTTTAAACATGTATCATTAACATTACATTGCTGCTCGCCTCTTGGCAACTTTCATTTGTCACCAAATCTCAGGTTTATAACATATTACTCTTTCTTTATCTGGGACCCAGGCCACTCAATCTTCCGCAAGGGAATTCTCTCCAAGGCCATGACTAAGTTATTCCTGCCACCCTCACTGCTGCTGTTCGTCTGTGTGTACAGACAAACAATAATGGGAATCTAAACTGTTCTTCAAAGACCATGTGTAGATCTGGTTATGAAATATAGAACAGCTGGGTGGTTCTGCCATTAAAACTACAAACTTTGGGCCAGGCGTGATGGCTCATGCCTGTAATCCCAACACATCGGGAGGCCGAGGTGGGAGGACTGCGTGAGCCCAGAATTTGGAGACTAGTCTGGGCAACACAGCGAGACCTTGTCTCTAATTAAAACGAATAAACAAAACTACAAGCTTTGGATGACAACTGTAATAGATTTCCAAATCCAGTTATGGACCAAAGGTGAGGCGGTACCAAGGGTCAGGAGGAGGGTGTTCTGCCGCAGTGTTATGGTATAGCCAACATGAATTTAAAGGAAGGTAGCTTGGTAATGTTACCTTTTACTACAGCCATGGTCGCACTCTCCTGTAAAGGCGTCTTAAAAGAGTCAAACCCAAAGACCTTCTTCAACGTACTCCGGACTCGCGGCTCAGGGTCAAAAGGAAAGGAGGTGTGGTGGGTGCTCATCTTAGCCAAGAACAGTGGCCAAAAATTAAGGCAAAGGTGGTAAAAGGTTGCCACGAGAACCCTCTGTTTTGCTTTAAAAATACAGCTTTTTCTGAGTAAAAACTTCCTATATTACACTTAAATGTTATTTTTAAGTAATAAAGCTGAAGGTGAATTGACTCAAGCAATACATTCCTGGGTAATTAACATCTCCACTTTTACGCTCAATGAATATATAAACACTGAACTCTTCCAGGCCACGGTATAGCACAGATCTAGATATAAGATCAAGAGAAGAAACACAAATGTCTTCAGAACAGTTTGGAGAATGGGGAACTGTTTTTCTAAGATCAACCACCTGCTTCTTCTTCTCTAGGCGCAACCACGACGACCGCACTTCCACCCCGGGACCCCGACCCCCTTCTCCCTTATTCCTGAGCCCAGGATCCGCAATTTTCTCTCTTGGCCGGCCGACGCCTCCCTCTCTTCACCCTATGGTATCAGGGCCGGCCGTGGTCCGCCGAGGAATAAAAGGCCCTTAGTGGGCCGCTGCTGCCGGCTGGTTCCGGAACTATTCGAAGACCTCCATACACAACCCCAGCTCTGAGAAGCCAAAGCCCCAGGAATTCAGCTTTTGCTAGAATCCACACAATCTTACATCCGTTGCGCAGTGATGATGTAGCGCGAGCGTTACCATGAGGGCGGAGCCAGGCGCAGGGAACTGCCCTTTTGATTGGTTTTCAGTCTGGCGCGGGCTCTCCTGGGATCCGAAAGAAGCCTTTCCGCCCGGAAGTTAGCGTCTTCGAGTCATACAAGTGAGCCGCGCCGGGACTGTGGGAATAAGATGGCGGGGAAGAGGAATGTTCTGTCATCTCTGGCAGTTTACGCGGAAGATTCAGAGCCCGAGTCTGATGGCGAGACTGGAATCGAGGCGGTGGGCAGCGCGGCTGGTGAGGCCCAAGTGGGAAGCTGGAAAAGGGAATCGAGTGTCTGCCCGGAATGATGTACCCCTCGCTGGGCGGGAGGGAACAAGATGGTCATTGTGCTCCAACTACCGCACCTCGAATAATGGTCCGGGGTCCTGGATGAGATAGAGCATTAGAGACTCTGTGCTAGAAATGAAGAATCTCCTTCCCATTGTTTCGATTAATCTGCCTAAACTTACTGAAAGTCTCCATGCCTGTTATCGTGATGGGCAGAGGGATGGACAAAGAGGGAGCAGCTGCTGAGCCACTGCCTGTTCCCTCTGGGCTCGTTTGATGAGAGAGAGCGATGATAAAACATACTGGAAGATGGTAAAGATTGTGTTTGTTAAATTTATAACTTTTAGCAGTGTGCCGTAAACACATCTTGGAGCTTTTAAAAATAAACGCATCTGATCCCCAAAGTGAAATGATCTAATTCGGTAAAACTGGGGTAGGATGTGGGCATTTGTGAAGTTTTTAAGGATCTTGGGTGATTTTTTTTTTTTTTTTTTTTTTTTTTTTGAGACGGAGTTTCGCTCTTGTTACCCAGGCTGGAGTGCAATGGCGCGATCTCGGTTCACCGCAACCGCCGCCTCCTGGGTTCAGGCAATTCTTCTGCCTCAGCCTCCTGAGTAGCTGGGATTACAGGCACGCGCCACCATGCCCAACTAATTTTTTGTATTTTTAGTAGAGACGGGGTTTCACCATGTTGACCAGGATGGTCTCGATCTCTTGACCTCGTGCTCCACCGGCCTCGACCTCCCAAAGTGCTGGGATTACAGGCTTGAGCCACCGCGTCCGGCCAATTTTATGAGTGTTTAAAACCTATCGGTGTTCTCAGGTTGAGAAGTACAATGTTTTTTTTCACATTGGAAATAGATTTCTTTGGGAGAATAGAGAACAAGTTACCTAACGTATCTGGACCTTAGCTTCCTCATCTGGAAAATGAAGGGGATTGGGTTAGGTTAGGTACTTTAATGTTTTGTGGGTTTGTGTGGTCTCTTCCAGTCAGAAAGTTCTCCGGTGGTTTCCCATAAACATTATAGTGTTTATCTCGTGTTTGTAGCATTAGAAACTGAATTTAGTTCTTGGTTTTGTTCTCTGCCCTTTTAATGATTGTATTCACTAAATGATGGTCTTCTTAAGAGCCAAATCTGGGCCTATGGTCACTTAACATGAAATTTAGGTTCCCCTTGTATCTTCAGAGATAGTCCTGACCACTCAAATCTCTGGACATTTTTCTTACATTGTAACTTGATTTTTTTTTCTTTCTTTATTTTTAACTTTTCAGAAGAGAAAGGCGGATTGGTATCTGATGCCTATGGGGATGATGACTTTTCTCGTCTAGGTGGTGATGAAGATGGTTATGAAGAAGAAGAGGATGAGAACAGTAGACAGTCGGTAGGTAAATCTCTCCAATTCAGAGCTACTGAAAGCACAATTTCATTTGTCAGATTTTGAAACTATGCCAACAGTGTTCCATTTCATGGCTAGCTTCATCCCCTTCTCCCCTCTTTTGTTCGGTATTAGTGGAAGAAACTGGGTTGGATATCAGTAGTTTTGTTTGAAAATTTATTTTCACATGGATCATTTTTTATTAATCTCTGAATTGAAATTTAGGGGGAAAAGATAGTGGGTTATTTTATTTAACTCAGATATTAATTGGTATTTTCTGTTGATTTTTCCCTATTTAAATGATTTACTCCATTTATAGCGGGTATTCATCCTAATTCGTTTATCATTTATATCTACAATCAACTCTGCATTATTTTTAATCTTGGTTGGGCTCATTCAAATCTTGTCAGTTTATCAAAATTAGCAAGGAAAATTAGTTTTCACCTGTTTCTTCCTCTATTTTGAGACAGGTTCTCACTCTGCTGCCCAAATTGGAGTGCAGTGGTGTGATCATCGATAGTTCACTAAGGCCCTGAACTCCTGGGCTCAAGTGATCCTCCCACCTCAGCCTCCCCAGTAGCTGGGACCATGGGTGGGAGCCACCATGCGTAGCTAATTTTTTTTTTTTATGAGTCGGAATCTTGCTCTGTCACCCAGGATGGAGTGCAGTGACATGATCTCGCCTCACTGCAACCTCTACCTCCCAGGTTCAAGTGATTCTCCTGCCTCAGCCTCCTGAGTAGCTGGAATTACAGGCACCTGCCACCATCCTCAGCTGATTTTTGTATTTTTAGGAGAGACAGAATTTCACCATGTTGGCCAGGCTGGTCTTGAACTCCTGACCTCAGGTGATCCACCGGCCTCAGCCTTCCGATGTGCTGGGATTACAGGCATGAGCCACCATGCCCGGCCAAGTTTTTAAGTTTAAAAAAAATTTTTTTGTGGAGATGGGATTTCACTGTTTCCCAGTCTGGTCTCAAACTTCTGGCCTCAAGCAATTCCACTGCCTCACCCTCCCAAAGTGCTGGGATTACAGGCATGAGCCACCATGCCTGGACTTCTTAACTTCTTTTTTGACATTTTACTTGGCACTTTTTATCATGGTGCCCTTAGTTCTTGATCACAGATCTTGCCTGAAGTTTAGTAGGTGCTGGTGAAGGAGAACCTGTGCAATTATTAACAAGAAAACGGCTTTAGTTACATAATCACCTGAGCAGTATGAGCCAAAATTTAAATTGAGGCTGGTGCATAATACAAGACATATAGAATTGAGTCTGGATGTCGAATCTGACTACTTAGCAAGTTTTAATTGAAACACTCACAATATATTATTTGTTTGAAATTTGTGTTACATATTGGTATGTAAATGTTAGCATTAATTTCTTTCCACAACAAACAAATGCGCTTTGTACATTATGCATTTTGGGAGATATTTTCATGCCTTTAGCCCCATCCATTAATACTGGTAATTCAGAGTTGACTGAAATTATTCAGAAAAGTTTTGCAAGTTGTTTTCTCTTCTGACTTTTCTGAAGTACCCACATTCTGGCTTAATATCCATAACTCTTTTCTTTAGTACATTTGCATAATGTGTTTTTTAAGTGTTGTTTCATGTTTGCTTTGCTTAGAATGAATTTTCATCATGTTAAAGCTTCATTTCATATTTTAGTAAAATCCTCTCATCAGATCTTACTGTAGACATTCTGAAATGTGATTGTTTTTGTCTTGAGCTCCATCTCTGTTTATTTGGCATGACTGATTTCATTTTAAGAAGATTATGGAAATTGCATTTAAAGCCTTGGACTCACTGGCACCTTACAGGACAGTTAAGTCTCCAAGTCATCAGTCTAGTTTGTTCAAGTCTCTCGAGTGGCATTTATATTAATATGTAGAGTGGTCTGTAATGTTTGGGCTGAAGTGTAGCTTTCTTGAAAATAACAGTTTCAAATTAAATCATTTTTTGCTGGGTATTTAGCTAAAGGCTTCTGTGCATTGGGAATGTTCTGGGTAGTGGAGGTAACGTGGATTTCACCAGCTAATAAGTTAGCTGATCAGCATCTTCTCCTGATCTTTGACCTTCATAGCATCAACATTAGTGTTCAGTGGAATGGTGGGCTCACGTTGGAGAATGCCTTACCATGTGTGATCCTTTGTGTCAGGCTGACCTTATTTGGATAAGGAACAGGACTAGGTAGAATGGGTCATTGGCAGTTCTGTGAGCACTTGGGTAGAGGCAGAGCCGACTCAACTGGGACTCTTGAAAGGTTGGGCATTGCCGTTTAGTCCTGCTTTTCCCAGGTCACTTGCTGTGGTCATGATGGCTGCCTTCCTGTGTTGATGTTAATAAGCGCAAATGCTGGTTGAGGTGCTGTGATATAGCTGTGTGTAAGTCTTGGCACTTGGTGTTGAACGGTGTTAACAGTAGGGCTGAGTCTGATGTACATATGTATGTGAAAAGCAAAGAAGGCTCATAATCCTGGTTTGAGGTAACCGATATTTCAGTGGAAACACACTGCCTGTTTTATTGTGTGGCCTGATCTTACTCTTTCCTGAAGCACACTTTTATGTCTGATTTTTAACTGGGGCATTTTCATTGATGTGGACTGTCTCACCATTAGAGTAACCTGACTTTGAGCTGCTGATGCCTTTTTGTCCCCGCCCCCAGAATATCTCTTTTTCCCCTTATCTTTCTCTGGTTCTGAGTTATATGGTAAGGGAGGGATTCTCGGTGGGATGACCCCAGCTGGGTACACGGGCTGTTTGCTCCAGCCCCTAGTTATGCATGTGAGACTCCTCAGGCCCACTCCTTTAAGCTTAATCCTCTAAATTCTTTGTCTTGTAGGAAGATGACGATTCAGAGACTGAAAAACCTGAGGCTGATGACCCAAAGGTATTTGGTGTTGGCTGTGGTGGGTGGCTGGATGCAAACAAGGTGTTTGAACATTATGGCTCAGTTCGTATGTCTGGTCAAGATCTGTCCCATTGACAAACTGTGCGACTGCATGGACATTTTCTGGGATAAAATAAGCTTTATAAAGAAAGAACCTGAAGACCACTCAGGAATGAACAAATCCTGAGACAGATTAGATTTCCAGCCTTTTAGATTGTGCCATATCTCTCCTGACTAGAAAGGCAAGAGGCCTGGCCGAGTCCAACAACCCACTTGCATTCTGCATCCCTGATGGGGCTTTATGATGTCACCACCATGCAGGTTTATTGGTCTGTTTCTAGACTCAGGAAGCTGCAGGGGCTGCCTCGTGTGCTTTGGATTGTCTTTAGTCATCTAGAAGTGAACAAAAGGCTATAAGAAGGTCAGACCAAAATGAGGCCTCTCCCAGCTCTTGGGGTTGGTGGGTCTAATTCTCATTTTCCTGGGGGTGTGCTCATCTACTTCTGGGCATGCTGTGTAGAATGATCTTTTTTGGAACAGCATAACTATTCTCATAATTCCATCCTAGTAGCAGCTGAGAGTAATTTGCAGCAGTTCCTATCACACTCCTTAATGATCTGTTGTGAAGATTAAGACACCCTTGTGTTGGTTAAGCTGCTTTGCTGTGCATTGGGCATTAGAAATTACTTGTTGAAGAGTCATTCTTTATGAGACAAACTCCCACCCTCCAAAGAAGAAGACTTAATTCTATCACTCTAGACCTGAAGAATAAGGACCACATTTTGCAGTTAAAAACTGCTTTGAGGCCGGGCATGGTGGCTCAAGCCTGTAATCCCAGCACTTTGGGAGGATGAGGCAGGTGGATCACGAAGTCAAGAGATCAAGACCATCCAGGTCAACATGGTGAAAACCCGTCTCTACTAAAAATACAAAAAATTAGCTGGGCATGGTGGCGCATGCCTGTAATCCCAGCTACTCAGGAGGCTGAGGCAGGAGAATTGCCTGAACCCAGGAGGTGTAGGTTGCATTGAGCCGAGATTGCACCATTGCACTCCAACCTAGGTAACAAGAGCGAAACTCTGTCTCAAAAAAAAAAAAAAAAAACTGCTTTGAGGAAAAAAAAAATTGCTTTGAGGCTGGGCACAATGGCTTATGCCTATAATCCCAGCAATTTGGGTGGCTGAGGCGGGTGGATCACTTGAGGTCAGGAGTTCGAGACCAGCCTGGCCAATATGGTAAAACCCCGTCTCTACTAAAAATATAAAATTTAGCTGGTGGGTGGTGCATGCCTGTAATCCCAGCTACTCAGGAGGCTGAGGCAGGAGAATTGCTTGAACCCAGGAGGCGGAGGTTGCAGTGAGCCAAGATCTGCCAGTGCACTCCAACCTGGGCAACATAATGAGACTGTTTCAAAAAAAAAAAAAAAAGAAAAGAAAAGAAACTGCTTTGAAACCAGTTATAACTTTCAAGATGACCTAGTAAAATTTAGGAAATTTATGCCCAATTATAATCTAAAACAGTAATATATTTGAAAATACAGTATGAGCTTTTCCATATTTGAGCTGATTCTGTGACTGGATAGAACTGTGTGTAGCCACTAAAATAAATCATGGGACATTGTGAGTGAGAAAGATAAGAATGTGTTTTACCAAGAAAAGTTTTGGCACCAGCAAGCAGGAGAAAAAAAAAGAACCCCTAAAAAACTGTAAACGCAACCTTACTTTCTATGCTGAGTGAAAAACCCGAAATCCAGGCCTAAGAACTGGTAAGATGGTATGGGGCAGACCTGTGGCCCCATAGTTCAAAGTCAGTCACAGCTCTGCTTGGGCTTCGGAATGAAAACACTCAGTAGTGATAGTATTCTTATCTGTCCTAGTGTTTAGGGTATATAGGACTTAGAGCCTGCATATAAAACAAGCCTAGAGGAGCCATAAATGTTTGGGTTTCAGTTGTGTAGGCAAGGGAGGATGTGGATCCCAGAGTCTTTCTGGGTACAGTTGCAGCCTTTGCTTAAGGCTGGAAGGCCTCCTGGGGAAGTTGGCTGAAGAGCAGGGTACATACACTAAACAGCCATCCCTTCTAAAATACTGTGATCAGGCAGCAAATCCTTGGAGAATGACATGGCTTTGTGAGTGAGGGTGAGGGCCTCATGAAAAAAAAAAACAGACTTTACTGCTGACTGCTAGCAGTCACTAAAGAACGGGGTTGGGGACCCAAAAAAGGTGAAGCTGGAAAGATTGTTGAAATGCCTTTTGTGCTCAGGCTCCCTTGTCTTGGTCCACATCAGAGCTGGACAGCCCTGTTGTTTCTGCCTGCTCCTTGATGGATGTCAGGTCATGTGTATTTCAAGTCTTATTGTGGAATGAAAAGTCTTTCATGGAATAAATTCTGTTCCTGTTGAAGAGCCTTCAGAAATCAGAACACAAAATCCAACCCTCAAAGTAGCTTGATTTAGTTCTTTTGGAGAGTGATGGAGGAAGATTTAGACAGAGCCAACTTAGATGTTCCTCAATCCCCAGTGGCTGCCAGGCCTTGAATAGTTCTCACGGCATCTCCAAGGACTAGAAATGATCCCCAGCATGAGTCTTCTGTGATACTGTTGTCTTAGTCCTAACCCTGGCACCCTCTTGCTTGAGCTGGCCTCAGACTGCCTTCCACATAGCAGCATGTATCCCAAATCCAGAACTTTCTGGCATGTTTTCATTTTATTTTTATTATCTTATTGAGACAGTCTTGCTTTGTCACTCAGGCTGGAGTGCAGTGGTGCTATCTCTGCGCACTGCAACCTCTGCCTCCTGGGTTCAAGTGATTCTCCTGCCTCAACCTCCTGAGTAGCTGGGACTACAGATGCCAGCCACCATGCCTGGCTAATTTTTTGTATTTTTAATACAGACAGAGTTTTACCATGTTGGCCAGGCTGGTCTCGAACTCATAGCCTCAAGTGATCTGCTTGCTTCAGCCTCCCAAAGTGCTGGGATTACAGGCATGAGCCACCACACCCGTTCTACATTTTTTTTAATTGATATGTAACAATATTTTTTATATTTGAAAACCTTAATTTTGAACATTCTGCTTTAAGCATATGAAGTTTCTTTTTTTTTTTTTTTTTTTTTTTTTCTTTTTTTGAGACGGAGTTTTGCTGTTGTTACCCAGACTAGAGTGCAACGGCAGGATCTCGGCTTACCACAACCTCTGCCTCCTGGGTTCAAGCAATTCTCCTGCCTCAGCCTCCTGAGTAGCTGGGACTACAGGCGCCCACCACCATGCCCAGCTAATTTTTGTATTTTTAGTAGAGACAGGGTTTCACCATGTTGACCAGGATGGTCTCGATCTCTTGACCTTGTGACCCACCCGCCTCAGCCTCCCAAAGTGCTGGGATAATAGGCGTGAGCCACCCCGCCCGGCTTCTTTTTACTTTTTTAAGAGACAGGGTCTCACTCTGTTGCCCAGGCTGGAGTGCGGTAATGCAGTCATAGCTTACTGCTGCCTCAACCTCCCAGGTTCAATTAATCCTCCCACCTCAGCCTCCCAAACAGCTGGGACTACAGGTATGTGCCACCACACCTGGCATTTTTGAAAGTTTTTTTTGTAGAGAAAGGGTTTTGCCATGTTGCCCAGCTGGTCTTAAACTCCTGGACTCAAGCAGTTTGCTGGCCTTGGCCTCCCAAAGTCCCGGGATTACAGATGTGAGCCAGTGTATATGAAGTGTCTGACAATGGAATATGTTACAAGTGTGGATCTTCGTTAGAATTGTTTTAACAATTAGATTACTGCCATAATTGTCTCCTCCACTAGATGGCATTCTCCCTTCTACTTTCGTTTTTTAAGATCTTTTCATTTTTTCAGTAGTTCTCAAAACCTTTTGGTTTCTTTACACAATTAAGAATTGAAAATCTCAGAATTTTTGTTCAGTTTGGTTTTATGTATTGATATTTACTATCTTACAAGTTAAAACAGAGACATTTTTAGTTATTATTTTAAAATAACAGACCTGGCTGGCTACTCATACCTATAATCCCAACACTTTGGGAGACTTTAGGTGGGCAGATTGCTTGAGCCCAGGAGTTCGAGGCCAACTTGGGCAACATGGTAAAACTCTGTCTCTATAAAAAAATACAAAAATTAGCCGGGTTTGATGGTGCATGCCTGAAGTCCCAGCTACTTGAGAGACTGAGGTGGGAGGATCACTTGAGTCTGGGAGGTAGAGGTTGCAGTGAGTTGTGATCATGCCACTGCACTCCAGCCTGGGTGACAGACTGAGACCTTGTCTTAAACAAGCAAACCTATTAACATAAATAACATTTTTAGAAAAAATAAGTATTTCCAGGGCTGCGGTGGCTCATGCCAGTTTTCCTGGCGCTTGAGGAGCTGAGGCTATGCATTCAAGGCAACCAACCTGGGCAACATAAGAACCTCTCATTCATTAAAAAAAAAAAGAAATTAGGCCGGGCGTGATGGCTCACACTTGTCATCCAAGCACTTTGGAGGCCAAGGCCAGCGAATCGCGAATCACCTGAGGTTGAGAGTTCAAGACCAGCCTGACCAACATGGTGAAACCCTGTCTTTAAAAGAAAAGAAAGAAGAAAAAATAAGTATTTCCAAAAAAGAAGTTAATGCAAAGAGTGGCACTGTGTCACCACTTTACAAGTCTCTTTAATGTCTGGCTTAATAGATACTCATAATTGCTTTTGCATTCAGGTAATTGTATGTATTCTTTTTTTTTTTTTTTTTTTTTGAGAGAGAGAGAGTTTTGTTTTGTCGCCAGGCGCCAGGCTCTAGTGCAGCTTACTGCAACCTCCGCCTCCTGGGTTCAAGCAATTCTCCTACCTCAGCCTCCCAAGTAGCTGGGACTATGGGCGCACGCCACCATGCCCAGCTAATTTTTGTATTTTTTTTTTTAGTAGAGACGGGGTTTCACCATGTTGGCCAGGATGGTCTCGATCTCTTGACCTCATGATCTGCCTGCCTTAGCCTCCCAAAGTGCTGGGATTACGGGCATG